ACAACAATGGTGGCTACACCTAAGCAAAGTTACCACATTTCCAGAGCAAAGCCGGACTGGGGAAGCCTTCCGATATGCGTTGCGCTGCAGGTGTATTCCCGTTTCGGCCAGAGAAGAGGACACGGCAGAACTGACAACACTTAGACAACGGAAGCCATCGACAGGGAGCTGCATCGAGAAGTATCAGTCCTTGGTGAACGCAAGCTTAACCGTGGATTCGAAGCTTCTATGTCCAGGCTTCATTACAGGGATGCCCCCCGGTGCGAAGCAGTCGGTAATAGGATGGGCCATGCAAAGGGAACTTGGGGATGCAAGAGTTTGTGTTGCCGAGATGGTGAAGTACACGCCATTGGAGAAAAAGCGCAGCGTCCAAAACTTTAGCAAAGGGAAGGGCGCAAGCGGGCTTGGAAAATACCCGAATATTGAGCGTAAACGCATTGGGGCTGTGAATTTCATTTTTGGGTTAAGAAGATGAAGGGCGGCAATTGACAACATCCGGGATCCAGCTCCCACGCGGAACGCCACCAGGAGTGCATCTGCTTCTTTTGCAATCATGAAGGCCTCCTCATTCGAGGCTACAGACGTACGAGAACAGTTCAGGGAATTGAGAAGCAAGCCTACTAGCAGAGCCGCTAATGGAGGAAAAAAAGTAATCAAGGGAATGTCTTGACCCCCACGCAAAGTGAGACTCAAGGGGCTAAAAGAGGTGGCGGACACTTCCACAGGCCCATAACGACTTAAATTTGCGCTGATCCAGATTCGTACCAATAACCTGGAATTTGCTAGCACCTGGACAGAGTGGGGTGCTGGCGAAGAAGAAGAAAGGGAATAGGCGCAATTCCGTTGAATTAATCCCCTCAACAAAACCACCGTGAAGCGGAAGCTTCCGATGCCTCGGAAAGGGAAATATTTGATCACTTGCATGGTTTATCAGTCTATTCATCAACAGACTTCGCTGAAGCGTTTCTAGCACCTCCCAATACATCCTGACGATGAGCAAAAGACTGCATTCCAGACATTCCATACCCACGCTAGCAATCTAGCGTACACGTGAATGCCCTTTGGGCTCATGAATGCACCTGCCCAACTGCAGCAAGAAGCCAATCACGATTTCTTGGGGGCCAGTCAATGAAGGATGGAGCGCATTGTCCATGTGCACATGGACGATGCGCTTCTATTCAGCCGGAGTGTGTAGGACCACCTGCACAAACTACGGCGTGCTTTGCAACAGGTAAGCAAGAACCGGTGGTTTGTAAAAGCACAAAAGCGTTCCCTTTTCATGCAACCAGTTAGCTTCTGATGATTTCGAGTATCTGAAGCAGATGCTATGCCGGATTCGGCAGAAAACAGAGAGTGGCGCATACCCCTGTACACGTTCGCACGAACTTCCAGTCCCTCTACCTCCTATCATAAAACCACAACTTAATCCCTGGTTCGACCTCGTTAGTCAACTGACATCAACCTCAGTACTCGCATTACCTGATTTCGACAAACCTTTCCTCCTAGCAACTGATGGCAATGATATGACGGTTGAATTAGGCCTCTCTCACCAAGCCAGAGACTCGATATAGCACCAAATAGTCAACTGATGCTCACAGCGTTTCCGTGAGTGCAGAAGTATCTGGTATGTGTGAATGCGCTCTACGCTGTCTGGCGAGAGAAAAAAAGTATCGAGACTGCTTTAATGGCAACGCTTTACCCTGCAAACTGATTGTGGTCGTCTGACGCTCACGACGAAAAATCTCCAAGAGTACGATAATGAAGGACTATTTCGGTGGCTTGGCTGGCATGCGTAGTACGACTTTACAGCGAAGTACATACAGCTATTCACTGACAGCTGCTCCCAGCGCATCAGCACTTTTCATCTGGAGACAACGGGACGTCAGCTACTGCTAGAGAGCCCCAAGAGATACTACAGTTCAGCTTGTTCAACAAGTGCAGGCAAACAACACTTCATTTCCAGTCCGTTCTTTTTTCTTGGAAAAGGATGGATTCAGGTTGTAATTCATTGCCCGAGTTGCCGTCCATGCTGAGAGGCTTGGTAAAGCCAAGCTAGTGAACCAACAAGCGTTCACGCACAGAGGAATTCATTGAGGCAAGGCGTTCATGGAAGCGCTGCTAGCGGAAGGAGACGCTTCTGCGATCTGGCAGTTCGGCATCAGCTTGTCCTCGGTACACCTCGTTGCACACAGCGTGGCAGTTGTACCGGTATGTCGAGGCTGTTTTCGTTCTGCGCCGTATTTGTCCTCCCTCTGTTGCTGGACTCCTGAAACCACTTGGATCGTGTCGGGACGACTCAGAGCAGGCAAGGGATTGCTCAGTGAAAGAGCTACGAGACAGTGCATGACAACATTCAGGGTACCACCAACCCTGCTATTTGCCGTCTTGCTCGGAGACACATTAGGCGCATCCCCGGCCTCACTTATATGGAGTCCAAAAGCGTGCTGAATGCTCTTCTTAAAAATATCATCAACGAATCCGTCACCAAACACGCACATAGGAAAATCGTCAGAGCACCGCGCGCTCGCGTAAGAGGCAGGGCGGCGCTCTGTACGGTGGTGGTGGCCAAACTGCACATCTAAGGCAGAGGAAAGTCAGAGGAGTCGCACGCGAATAGGTGCAGCTGACCAAGCAGGAACCCTTTTGGGTGCGCAACCCCAATGAGGCGGCAGGAGACGAGTGCGCTTCGCTGTACAAATCTCTGTTCACTGAACGCCGCTTGGTGTTGCAACCCTTCGGGGTCGGGAGGTAACTCAAGTTCAAGGCACTCCTCTTTGGGCTCAAGCGTACACGTCTCAACCCCTTTTTTGCAAAACAAAAAACTAGAAAAGAAGAAAACCTCAAACGGAAGACAAGGCAATAACGCCCAAGTGTACGCAGGACCTCCCTCCCAACACATCCCAAGAAAGCCTGCACAAAGGCCAAAACTGTACATTCACAAAAAGGAACCCCTTGAAGAGATGGTGAATCGGATAAAGGGCAGAAAGACATTTACTACAACTCTGGGGAGCTGCGACCGACAGCAGCAAACTCCCCCTCTCCGAACAACAACAACTGTTCGCAGTTCGACAGAGGAGATGCTACTGAAAACCGGCGCTGCAGACATAGTTTAATCGACAAGGCGAAGATCAGCACTATCACGAGGAAGGCGCAGACGCCGTTTGAGGCGAAGGGGAACACATTTACCTACTGCACAGCACCCCGCCGATTTAGCTCAGTCGGTAGAGCGCCAGCCTTTTAAGCTGGTGGTCGCGGGTTCGAGCCCCGTAGTCGGCTCCTGCTTCCGTGCATTGCTTCTTGCGCCCACCGCGCTCTTTGCCGCCTTATGTTGCTACCAAGAGATGTAGGCTGTTGGCTTAGGAAAAAATCCTCACTTCGGTCATATGTCCTGATACTCGTGTCTCACGAACTATCCGACAGTTTCCCCCCAGTGCTCCGGTATATGTGTCTGAAGACTTCTTTTGGCAAGGGGGCAAATGCAACCACTAATAAGCTTTTCATCGCTAGCGACAGCATCTACTGCAAGCGGACCTCCGTAACCTCTGCACGGAGGACCGGCGTCCATCTTCCTCAGATCCCACAAAAGGGCTGCCTGCCACCAACTGCCCAGCGGCATTCGCCTTCGGGGTGGACGATTTATTTGTTCCCATGCGCTCTCCTCCCATCTCACTCGCATCTCCTTTGCAAAACCAAGGCGAGCAATACCGGAGTTGCTTGCAACTCACCACCAGTGCAGTCCTCACGTGCTCTAACGAGAAGAGAAAGACGAACTACAGCGAAAGCGTTTGCCATGGATGTTTCCGTTCATAAAGAACGACAGGGGGTGGTTCGAACAATGCAAATACGAAATTATGCCGTCCCGCCAAACAGAATCTGCATGCGCCCCAAAGGGTGCTGCGGTACACGGCGCTCTCCTGAGTTGGGTGTTCGTAGTGTTCCACGTCGGGGCTTAAAATTTTATGGAAGTAACTTCAACCTACGCGCACTAGTGCAGAAGAGTGGAAGCCCTGCCAATGGGGGCTTCAGGCTCAGGCGAATGACGGTGCAGTTGGCTCAGGCCCACCGCACATCACTAGGACTCCGCCGAACGTGCTGTAGCCGTGAAAACATTGCTGGACGCCGGGCATCCGTGGCAGACAGTGACAGTGACCAGGCGTTTATGTGGAGGTTTCGGTTGCTGAGACATCCAGCATTTCGTTTTATCAACTGCCTATCTGCAATGAGGCGGACGACGCTCATCATGCGCTGTCCTAGGAGGCGGGCGCTCAGTGGGTTTAAAGTTCCTGGGGCTACAGAAAGAAGGAAATGCCATCACCCACCCACAGCCTCGCCTGTTGTGCGCTGCGCTTGTTTGCCTTGGGATAATGGGATCGTCTGCAAGTTGAAGCTGACCCGACAAGGCTTCGTTTGATTCCACTGGCTGACGGCAGAAATAGTCTGCATTCCCATCGACGCCGCGAAAGGCATCTGCACACCTTGTTCTGGGGATTAGGGGCCCCCTCAAGGGGCCCCCTCAAGCGCCGGCCTGTGGGCCCTTGAAGGGAACTGCAGTGAACGGAAAGCAGACGTCATCTTCGGCTCGCGCTGCACCCTTAACTTCGATGAACATTTCCATGCCGGTTGTGCAGGAAGCTGCTGAAAACAGTGCACTTACAATACAAAAATCGATGCACGCCACTGCCATCACAGCCACCGCTTGCGTCGATGGGTCTTCAACCTCCCTCCCGAGCCAACCGTCTTCCTTCTATTGCCGATGAATCCCAGCAGTAAGCTTCAGCCGGTCGTGCTGGCGACCAGCCCGAGAAACACTAAGCGTTCGACACCCTTGGATATCCTATCACACTTGCCGTGTCCCAGATGGGCAAGGCGATGGTGCGCACAACACAGGAATTCTACAGCAGCAGCTTCTGCTGCAACCGCTGCTGTAGCTGCTGCTGTAGCGGCAAGAAAGGGGCAGAACGCGCACTTCGTCTGGGCAGATACACTTGGAAGCAATCGAGTTACAGGGCATCGACGCAGCGAATAAGAGTGAGAATGCCTCCAGTGAAATGCCACAACCTGAGGCTTTTCCATCTGTAGACAAGCTGCTGCCGCTGCAGAAGATTCTTCTTCTCTCTCAGCTTGGCTGCGGCGGCTGCTACTGTGAGCGGGGTGGCAGCGGCCACAGAAGCAGCAGCAGCAGCCGCTGTTTGACGCCGTACCACGATGGCCTGCTTGAGGCTGCAGCTTTCACAGTGAGGGTAGAGGCGCTGGGGCCAGTACTTCGAGCCCCCCACCAGCCTTCGCAGCGTCCCCAGCACCCTGCCTAGGCCAGTCCTTTCATAGTTTAGGACTTGGGCGGTAGGGGGCTGGTGGTCCGCCACCCAACGCGTGCTCCGCGATCGGGTCCCGCACGTGTGGCACCCAAAGCGCAGCCCCACCTTCTTAATCAAACGCCGCTCAGTGTCTGACGCGTACACCGTAGAGGCAGATAGAGACAAAGCCCTGTCACTGAACGCCCCGGGAGCCACCAAACTCGAAGGAGACAGACGGAACAGACGCCCACCTAGCAAATAGTAGAGCAGCAAACAATTAATGGTCTCCCCCGCAAAAAGCCTCAGCAAACTTTGCCTGCAGCCGCTGCCGCTGCTGCTGTTGCTGTTGCTGGTGGTGGTGAGGGCCAAAGAAGACGCCCGGGGATGGTGCTGCAGCAGCAGGCCCCCCCACTTTCCTCGAGTTTCCTGTTGCAGAGTCTTTGCTGCTTCGAGCCACCCGGAGGCGCCGATACTGTTGCCGGCGTGCAGCTGCTGCAGCCTGCTGCACGCGAAGCCTGCAGCAGCAGCAGCTGCAGCAGCAGCATTGGAAGCCACGGCTATTGTAAGCAAGCCAAAAGGCTTGGAAAGAACGGAAGAACACGAAATTCCAAGCGCCTGTTGTATGCGTGCTCCAGCCGTGCATACACCCCAAAAGGACAGGGCACTGCCACTGCACTGCAGCAAGCTTGAGGCAACCCAACTGTTGAGACTGTTGCGCGAGGTTGCTGCTGGAACTGCCCTTCCCCCCGCCAAGTCGCCCCCCGCGACCACCGTAGGAGAAGCAGCCATTGCTGCTGTTACTGCAGCAGCAGCTGCAACAAAGCCGGTCCACAACAACTGCCAAAAGTTTCCGCTAGTGGTGTTGCTGCTGTTGCAGCTGCTCCTGCTGCGCCGGCCAAGACTCGTTAGCCGGTCAACTAAAGACTGATGCAAGTTATGCTGCTGCTGATGCTGCGACCTTTCTGTGAGGAGCGCTCGCAGTCGTTCTTCCACCCAGCGCTGAGCTTGCAAGGCAGCACCAGCGGCAGATCGCCAGCTACGCCGGCTCGGGAGATGCTGCAGAAACAGAAGATCACGTGTCAGCCATCTGCGTTGCAGAAGCTGCTGACGCTGCAGCTGCAGTTCCGCTAGCACCTCCTGACGTAGTTGGCAGCACTGCGCTGGCGTTGCTGCTGCGCAGCAGCCGGCTTTGGGGGCTCCACCTGCAGCAGCAGCAGGTGCAAAACCATAGCTGCCTGGGGAACGCAGCAGTCTGACCATGGGGAGCCACCTCCAACAGCAGCAGCCACGCTAGTGGCCACAGCCGCAGCAGCAAAAGCAGAAGCACCAGCAGCTGAGGCACAAGCGACTGGAGCAGCGGAGTCCACACGAGCCGACGCCACTGGGTCCACGGCTCAGCTGCCTCTGCTGCTGATGCTGCTGGGCTCCCATCTACAGCAGCACCTGCTTACGAGATCTGCTCAGGTGCTGCTGCCGTTGCTACTTTGCTGCTGCAGCAAAGTCTCATCGACTCCGCCCCGGCCGTTGCTTCTGCTGCTGCTGCGGCCGAAATGCTTGCTGGTGCGAAGGCAGCGCCTGTGTCTTGGAAATAAAAATGACAATCCAGTATATTAATTGCACCGCTACGCTGATTTCCTTGCTGCTGTTGCTCACCCAGTGTCGGCAGCAGGGCGTGCAGACACAGAAGCTGCTTGCTCCACCTACCACAGCAGGAGCAGACCTCCCGTTTGTTTCCTCAGGTCTGTCTGCGCTGCATTTTAAATCGTCTGTTTTCTCTGACAGGGGTGAGGGATGCAGAGAGCCGTAGCTGAAGCGGAGCCCACCCACTTCAATGCCGATAGGACACAGCGCGGCATGCCGTTGCTGCAGCAGCAGCAGCAGCTGGAGGCGGTCTTCCACAGCAACAGCCAGCCTGGAAAAGCCTAAAGTTGCCTCACTTTGACACTGGAAATAAGGTTTTCTCTACATGACACAAAAAGGCAGCTAGCTGCTGATGTTGTTTCTGCTCCAGTTGCTATCGAAGCCTTACGCCTTCCCCTGTGGCGACAGCCGGTGCAGTTGCTGTTGCTGCTGCCTGTTCTGCAGAGGCCTTTCTTGGAGGCGAGGACCCCTTTATGGGGCCCTCACAGGGGCCCGCGACGCACGTTAGTCATCCCTGCTGCAGCAGCAGCGGGAGCACCAGCGGCTGCTGGAGCACCGGCTTCTCTTCCCACCGCTGCAGCCGAGCTGCCAGCAGCAGAAGTATGCTGCCTTTTGAACAAGAGCAGCAGCGAGAGCAGCGGGGTCGATCGCCACAACAGGGCATGCCTTCAGAACAGGTGGAACGTTTCAGAGACGCAGCGGCAGCGGCAAAGGAGCCTGCGAGTGGAGGAGCAGCAGCAACAACAGATACGGCATGGTATTCTGAGATTTTGCGATTAACACATTGAGAGACTTGGAAGCAAAGCCAGCAGCAGCTACAACAGGAGCAGCGGCAGCGGCAGAAGCAGCGCCAGCACCAGCAGACACAGCAGCAGCAGCAACCGCAACAGGGATATCGGAGGGCAAAGGCAACAGCAGAAACTGCCCCCACAGCAGCTGCTGCAGCACTGACAGCAGTGGTACCGGACCAGCGGCGGAAACTGCAGCGGCAAGGGGAGGGGGCCATGGATAGCCATGCGTACGAGATCGAGTTGGAATGCCGGGAGGCATGCAGCCGTTTGAGCCGCTCTCTTGAGGCCGTTAAGCGGCATACAGGAGGTACTCCTGCTTGCCGCAAATGTTGCTGCTACTGATGCTGCTGTTGCTGCAGCTGGTGCTTCTGTTCTGACCAGCAGCTTCGGGGTGTGTTGTTGCTGTTGCTGCGTGCCGCTCGATGCATTGTTGCAGCTGCCGCTGATGCAGCTACAAAGAGTCCGTGAGATCCGTTGCTGGCCATGGCTGCTTTTAGACGCCTTATGTGATGAGCAGGAAACGCCTGCTGCTGTTGCGGCTGCTGCTCAGAGGAGGCTCCCGTCTTGGAGCGTTTGGTGGCGGACTGTCGGCGCGAAGCGAATGCCTTTTTGGAGGGGGTGAGGGCAGCTGCCGTTTCCTGTCTGTTTCTGTTGCAGCTTTCGCCGGTCTATATTTGTCCATCTGTCTGCATGCATGCACTTCGTGCGCATCTGTAGCTGCTGCCGCGTTCTGTGACGTCGCCATTCACCTGGCTGCTGCTGCTGTTGGTGCTGCTGTTGCTGCTGCTGTTGCTGCTGCTGTTGCTGCTGCTGTTGTTGCTGCTGGCACCTGTGCAGCTCTTGAGCGCTTTTTGTCTCTCGATCTAGCCTCTACTGTATCTCCGAAGGAAGCGCTTAGTTAGCCGCCCGTCACCTGCCGAAAGCGCAACTAGCCGTCGCCAGAGGGGCGACAGCTAGCTAGGACGTAACAGGGAAGGCAGCTAGTTAGGAGTTCGAAGGGGAGAGAGCTAGCTGGGGGCTAGGACTTTAGACAGCTAGTTATAAGCTAGGGCGGGAGACAGCTAGCTAGGTGAGGCGGCGGCTAGCCAGTGGGTGAGGCTCCTTCCCGCGCTGAATGGGAAGACAGCTAGCTATCATGCATGAATGGCTAGCTGAAAAAGATGTGTTGCTGCTGCACAGCTGCGGCGCCTGGAGCTGGAGGCGCGCTTTGAATCCCCCGCAAGCGGTAGAAGCCATTCGCCCCCTCACAGCGTGAGAGCTCCCTCGCTCTGCTGCCCTCTCAGCAGCAGCAGCTGCTGCTGCATCTCCTCCTGCTGCTACTGCTGCTGTTGCTCTTGCTGTTGTTGTTGCAGCGGCTGGTGCCGCTGTGACTGAGCAGTTGTTGCTGGGATGACCTTGGAGCGACGCACTGCAGAGAGGAAACCTGCCGCGGCGCGGAGTATTGGGTGCAGCGTGGGGAGTAGGATTAGCGGCAGCAGCAGCAACAGCACCTGCTGCAGAGAAAGCAGGGGTATGTGCCCTGTAATGATGCCTTTGCAGGTTGTGGAACTGCGCCAGCAACTGCGCCTATTGTACGCTGAAGTTGACGCTGCAGAGAGGCGGCTCCTTCTGGCCAACGGTAGGCAGCTGCAGCAGCAGCAGCTGACAGGTGCTACAGGGCTTGACGTGGCTTGCTTGGAGCTGTTTCTTCTTTGCTTATCTGCATCCATCTGCATACCTTCATATATACATTATATACATATATATGTGTATATGTATATAGGGTGGGGTTTTGTTTTCTGGGGATGCCGTTGGGTCAGATGTCTGCGGTTTATGGCTTGAATCCTACTATAATTTGGGGTTTAGGGTTTGGGGTTTAGTGCTTTGGGGGGCTTGGGGTTCATCTTCTGCAGGAGGGGCGCAGCGCGAGAGTCTGCTGGGGAATGAAGGGAAGATGAGTGAAGGCTGCAAACAGCTGGAGGTGGGGGAACTGTGAGGGGCCTGCCAAATTGCGAGAAGATAATCAAAACACGCAGCGGCGAACGGAGACAGAAAGAGACAGAGAGGGGAAGAGATACAAGGGTAGTGGCCGAGACGCAAACAGATGGGGAGGGAAAGAGAGACAGAGAAGGACCGAGACAAACAAAAAGGGAGACAGATAGAGGCAGGGAAGGAAAGAGAAGGAGAGACAGGGACTGAGACAACGACGAGCAGACACATGCAGCGACAGACAGAGACATAGAGACAAATATACAGGGAGAAAGGGACAGGGTAGAGACACAGACCACATTCAGAGAGAGAACGACACAGATAGAGGCAAATGCAGACGTCGCAGAGAAAAGGCAGAGGTAGAGATAGAGAACGACAGAGGAACAGAGGAGACGGGGAGAAACGGAGATCGACGCATGCACACAGAAAGAAAGAGACACAGAGAAAGGAAGAAAGACAGGCAGAGAGCAGGACAAAGAAATTGACAAAGGCACACGGAGCGAGGAGATAGACAGTAGTAATTCAGGGAAAGGGACTGGGGAAGCGGGCGCAAATAGAGACAGAGAGAAGAGTGCACGGAACCTGGACAGAGGAGATACCGCAGGAAGACACCAGCAGCAAATAGGGAGAGTGCGGTTCAAAGTAAAAAAAAGCTCAGAAGAGACGGGCGGGTAGCCAGATAACTAGCGCATTCCAGGCGGCGGCTACTGCTGACGTTGGTGCTGCTCCTGACTTTGCTACTACTGCTGACTTTGGTGCTGCTGCTGACTCTGCTGCTGCGGACTTCGCTCCCGCCGTTGCTGACTACGTTGCTGCGCACTCTGCTGCTGCTGCTTCTGACTTTCCTGCTGATGGTGCAGCGGGCCCACATGCTGGCGCTGGAGACGGAGCAGGTTGGACATTATGTCTCTGCTACGTTGGGGGCGCAGCGGCAGACGATCCTCCGGACAAGGAGTCAGGTGTGTCGCTCTCGCGCCTGCAGAGTTTGCTGGATTTGCTGCTGCTGTTGTGCTATGTTTGTTCGCTTCGAAGGCAGGACAGACAGCATCCGCTGCATGCAAATGCGTGTGCGTGCCTTTTTCTCTTCCTGGCCACATTCTACTTCGTTTCTGCGCCTTGTTTCCTACCCATTGGCTGTCGCTGCCTTGTGGCCTCTTTCTCCTTGAGCCGCAACAGCGTCTACTTCCCCTGGTGTTCGAGGGACTCCGCATCTGCTGCTGCTGCTGTTGCTACTGCTGGTGGCGGTCGTGTTGCTCCCCTGCTGCTACCCATGCTGCTGCTCTTGCTGGTGCTCTTACTGCTGCGGATGTAGCCACTGCTGCCGCCGTTGTGGCTGCTGCTTTGCGCTGCGTTGTGTAGGTTGCTCGCTGGGGGGACACTTTAGCTGAGAGCCGGGCATCGATATCGCGAATGGTGGGCTGATTGTCTCCTTTTCATTTGTGTCTTGTTTTCTTTGTTTTTGTTCATTGTCTCTTTTTTGTTGCTGCATGGCTGCCTTTGCCTTTGCCCTTCTGCCTCTGTCTTTGTCACTTTCAAAAACTGCTGTTTGTCCCTCCTGCTGTGACTCGCTCAATCATATTTCTTTGACCCTAGCACGCTTTTCCCTACCCTAATGTATATCTCTGTTACACGCTGTCTCTAGTAGATGTTTCCTTGCATGTGCAGCGCATCCCTCTGTGTCGTTCGCTTCGTATGTGCCCACGCATTACGGCCCTTAAACGGTGTGCTGCCGCTGCAGGTGCTGCTGTTGTTGCTGTTGCTGTTGTTGGTGCGGCTGTCGCTGCTGCTGTGCTGTTGCTGCTTCTGGAAGGATCTTTCGGTGTTGCGGTTTTGCTCTGCTATCTGCCTTGTTGCAGCTGCGCACAGCGCGTCTCCGCCAGTGGTTTTTGTTGTGTCTGATTGCCTGCATTTGCTGCTGCATGGTGTATGTGATGCTCTCACGGGCATTGTGGCATTTGGGCTTGGGCAGCAGCAGTAGCAGCAACGGCAACGATGACGGCAGAAGTAAAGCTGAGGGAGTTCCAACAGCTTCAGCTGTTGCTGCTGCTGCCGCTGCTGGTATTCAAGGGCCTCCTGGTACACAGCCCGACCCCTCTGTACCTCCTCTTTCTGATAGTATAGCAACTCCAGAGCAACACCAGCAGCAGCAACTGCAGCAGCCACTGCAGCAACAAACGCAACAAACGCTGCCTCTTACGGGCAGAGACAAATTTAATAACCTGCAGAGGCACGCGCGCGAAAAACGGGAGCATGAGCAACAGCTTCAGCAACTGCAACAGCATCAGCAGCCACACCAGCAACAGCACGGACAACAGCAGCCCTCTGTGCTGCAGCCGCACTCGCAAATGCAGCAGCTGCAGCAACCACCGGAATCACAGCTGCAGCCGCAAATGCTGCAACATGCTTCTGAGCAGCAGCAGAATCCTCTGCCGCAGCAGCCACCGCTTCTGCTGCAGCAGCCTTCTGTACAACTGGAGCAGCAGTCTCCCTCGCAGCAGCAGCAGAAACCTCAGCTTCCTTTGCAGCAGCAACAACTTCCTATGCGGCAAGAGCAGTTTGCCTTGCAGCAGCAGCAACCTCTTCTGCAACAGCAGGATCCCCCTTTGCAGCTGCAGCAGCAGCCTGCCTTGCAGCAAAAGCAACCTCCTCTACAGCAGCAGGGGGAGCCTGGCTTGCAGCAGTACCAAACTTCCGTGCAGCAGCAGGAGCCGCCTTTGCAGCAGCAACAGCAGCCTGCCTTGCACCAGCAGCAGCAGCCTGCCTTGCACCAGCAGGGGCCTGTGTTGCAACAGCCCCAACCTGCGGTGCAGCAGCAAGGGCCGCCTTTGCCGCAGCAGCAGCCTGCCTTGCCGCAGCAGGGGCCTGTATTGCGGCAGCCCCAACCTGCGGTGCAGCAGCAGGAGCCGCCTTTGCAGCAGCTGGAGCAGCAGCAGCAGCCTGCCGTACAGCAGGAGCCTGCCTTGCAGCAACAGCAGGCTGCCCTGCAGCAGCAGGAACGGCCTTTGCACCAGGAGAAATCTATGCAGCAACAACAGTCTACTAAGAAGCAGGAAGCGCCTTCGCAGCAGGAGCACGCTCGAGTTCAGCAGCCGGAGCAGCCTCCTATGCAGCAGCAAAAGGATCTGCAGCAGGCGCAACCTGTGCAGCAATCTCTGCAACCGCAGCACTCCCCGGAAGTAGCAGTAGCAGCAGCAAACTCTCCATCATCGGCTCCTGGATCCAGTGCAGGCATGACTGGGAAGTGAACGCAGCTTTAAGGCAGGCGAGCGGCAGAAAGCAATGAAACAGCAGCGGCATAGCAGCATTGGCAACTGGAGCTGCAATGGCAGGTGCAGTAGTAGTAAAAGTAATATCAGCGAGGGGACTTGCGTAGACTGCTGCGGCCGTCATCTGCTGCAGCCATAGTTGTTAAACAGTCCCGTCAGCAGCAGCCGCTGCAGCCCTAACGGCATCAGTTGTTGCAGCAGCTGTTGTAGGAGCATCTGCGGCTTCCTAAATGACTCGCGTTTCCCGTGGAGGGCTGCCTATGCACGCCCGAGTTCTTGCAGCCGACAGGCTTAATGTCTTTTTGTAGCTCTTTCTGCCTTTGCTGCAGATGGTTCTGCTGCATCTGCTGCTGTAGGTACGGCAGCAGCAGCTGCAGAAGTAGCTGCTGCAGGTGCTGCGGTCCTTGCAAAGCGTGAAGGGTCTCCGTGTCTTGCGGTGGCTAGCTGGCAAGCTGTAGCGCTGCAGTCAGGAGGCGCACCTAGCAGACAGCGGCGGCTAGGCTCCGCAAAAAGAAGCCACAGCTAGCTAGTAGTTAGCTAGAAGCTAGCTACCATCGAGATAGTAGCTGGTACCTAGTAATGTCTAGGTGGCAGAAGTAGCTAGTAGATAACTCCTAGCTAGCTCATTGAAAGAAAGACAATGAACTCATGGCTTCTGCGAGCATTCCTCCGTGCCGGCTTCTTTGGCCGCATGCAGCAACAGAGGCAGTAACAGCAACGGCATCAGCCGCCGCTGCAGCCTCTGCTTAGCTGCTAAGTCAAACAGCATTGGCCCGAGCAAAAGCTGCTGCCACATCAGCTGCTGCTGCAGCCGCTGGTTCTCGGTAAGATGGCCTGCTTCTACTGCTGCGTGGGAGAAAAAGTGAACAGCCCGAAAGAATGCAAAATAAACTGAATTCTCACTGTTATCCCTGCCAAACGCTTTGGGAGCAGTGGGCGCAGCAGACTACAGCTAGCCAGCAGCCAGCCACTCGAACGTACAACTGCCAGAACTGCCAGCACGGTCACGGTAAGGCACTAGCCAAGAACACCGGAGCCACCAGCCAGCGGGCCCGCTAGCCACAGCCCTATAGCTAGCTGCAAGGCTAGCTAGCCAGGGGGAGAACTAGGCACTGTCTCCGCCAGAGGAGCGACGGACGAGCTCGTGGGGAGAAAGTGCAGACTATCAGCAGCAACAGCTGCAGCAAGAGCTGGAGCAGATGGTGCTGCCGCGCTTGCTGTTTCTGTTGCTGCTGCTGCAGCCCTCAGCGCCTGGCTGCTGCTGCGGCAGCAACAAGCACGGAAATGAGGGCCTGAGCCGTTAAGTGGCGGACCGGCTTGCACCGGCGCCTGCCGCTGCTATTCTCTGCGGCCTCAGCAGGTTCCTTGTGCAGCTGGGTGAGGCTGAAAATTACGGGAGCAGCAGCAGCAGCAGCAGCAGCGTCAAGGGAGGACGCTCCACCGGAGCTTCTCTCGCTGTTGCAGACAGAAAGCGGGATATACTGGCTGCTGCATGAACTGAGCCAAGAGGAGGAGTTGTCTTCAACACAGCAGGCTGCCTGCGGCGGGGGCCTATCTTGCTGCCCCACTTCGTGCTGCTGCAGCAGTTGATGCGACCGCAGCAGCTGCTGCTGCTTCCTGCTGCTGCTGGTCTTCTGCTGCTGCTGTATTACTGCATGGTACTTTACGCTGGGGTGCTGCCTCAGGCCGTCCTGAAACCGCGACACCTCAATGACAGGCTGAATGCGCATCACGGCCTGAACAAGCCACAGCGCCAGCAGCAGCAGACAAAGCACACTGAACAGCGGCAGGGCGAACCGAGCAGCCAGGCGGTCCAACGGCAGCAGCAGCCCCATACGGAAGTGCGTGCCTACGCCAGTAGGAGCAGCAGCAGCTGCATTAGAACAGGGGGAAGAACGATATAAGCAGCACGAATGAGAAGCACAGCACAGCAGCAGAATGTGCAGAACAGTCGCTGGCGCAACGAGCAGATGCAAAAACAGAAGCAGATGCAGCAGCGGGTACAGCAACAGCAGCAGGCGCAGCAACAGAAGTAGCACAAGTGAATGGCATACGGCGACTCCCCGCCGTATGAGGCGGTTGGCAACAGCAACTCCCAAGGGAATGAGGCGGTTGCTCGCAGTCGTCAGGACGACCCAAGGGTCAGTGCTGCAGCGCAGCTGCCGCAGCGGAGAATGCTGCAGCGGCGGCATCAGCTGCAGAGGTTCCTGCTGCTGCTGCGGAGCTGAGCCGCTGCTGTCTCCATCGAGGGCCTCTTCGCTTTGCTGCGCTGCAATACTGACGGGCGGAAAGAGCCTCGAGTTCCCTGCCTTGCGACTTTGCTGATGATGCTGCTTCAGCGCCGCAGCTGCAGCAGCAGCAGCTGCTGCTGCGTCAGCGCCAGCTAGTAGGGAAATGACGGACTCCAAGTCAAGATCATACGAAAGTACGAGGAAGTTTCTGTGGGGCTCCACACCCCCCAAAGAAATGCCTCGCGGAAATTCTCTCGGTGTTCCTGCTGCTGCTGCGGATCCGGATGCAGCAGGACCACACTCGCTGCCTTCTGCAGCACCTGAACCACACGTTGCTGCTGTGCTGCTGCTGCTCGCAGCACCTGCTGCATCGGAGCTCACGCAGAGAATGGGTTTCATGTACCCGCCACCACCTACTCTCAGTAACTGAGGTCGAGCGTGCACCAGCACCGTTGCCTGCTCCTGTTGTTGCAGTTGCTGCTGCTGCACGGGAGTGGCGGTCTCGGCGGGGCTGGCCGAGCCAACTATTGGTGAGGAGGCCCTCAAGATCGAGATATTTAGAAAGACGCCAAACACGAGCCGCTGCAGCGCAGGGGCAGCAAGTGCAGCAGCAACGGCAGCAATGATACACGGAGCGCCTCACCCAACAGAAGCATCAGCAGCAACAGAGGCAACGCCCGAGCACAGCAGCAGCACCAGCTGGTACACATCTCACCCCAAAGTCGTAGTTTAGGCTTTCCGGCGGCAGCAGCAGCCGCATGCAGCAGCAGCGGCCAGTTGAAGAGTCCGCAGCTGCCTGCAGCAGCAGCGCGAGGTGGAGGCCGTGGCTGAGTTCCTTCTCCACCTCCGCCGCTGCAGCTGCTGCGGATGCGGCTTCCCAAGATTCCTGCCGCAGCAGCTCTTCATCTTCCTCCACCTGCAGCTGCGTACTCCCTGTAAGGCGGTCGCGCGTTCTCTGCAGCAGTAGCAGCAACTCCGAGGGTTCGCCTGAAAAGTCCAGCAGCTGCTGCAGCGACTCAGCAGCAACATCTAGATGCTCTCCCTCCAAGTTCGACAGCTCCTGCAGCACCGCAAGCGCAGCACCATAAGCAACAGCAGCAGACTAGCGCTGCCTAAGGGTGCAGCAGCGGCGCAGCAACGACAGAAGCAGCAAGAAAACCGGCCACAGGGGAACTAGCAGCAGCAACAGGAACGACGGAATGCTGCCACGGAAGAGACCTACATAGAGAACTTCGCTGCAGTCCGCTGCAGAAACGCAGGGAAGCGGCTGTAGATGACACGCGCTGCCATGACAAGCCTGCTGCTGCAGCTGCTGCTGGTGCAGCAGCAGCTGCAGCACTGCTTCCTCCACGTCCGGACGAGGAATACAAAAAACCAACCTGGTCGGCAGCAACAGCAACATCAGCAGCAGTTCGAGGTGCGTCCGCAGCAATTGGGGCACCAACATACAAGAAAGCGCTCATCGCACCGCAGCAGCATTAACGAGGAGGACCGAAGGGCTTCAAAAGGCATCAATACAAGACGAGCCAACCAACGCCCAGAAGGGATAGGACTGCAGCACTAGCGGAACCAGTATGAAGTTCAGCAAGAGCACCAGTGGAGGCAGCAGTAGCCACAGCGGGCTCAGCAGCAGCAGTGGGAGCAGCAGCACTACCACAAGCTCACTCTAGCAACGACCGCAGGAGCTGCGGAAGTGCGAACTCAATGGTGCCGCAAAAAGGAGGAAGCCCAGCAGCAGCCAGCAGGTTGTGCAGTGCAGTGACTGCAGCAAGTAGCAGCTCGCCCTCAGCAGCAACAAGCTGCTGCTCCTCCGTTGGGAGGACACCCATTAGGCGCTGCAGCAGCTGCCGATCTATCCCCTGCTGCTTCTCCTGTTGCTCCTGCTGCTGTTGTTGCTCCTGTTGGTCCCGCTGCTGCTCCCCTTGCTCATGCTCATGCTTCCGTTGCTGCTGCTGCTGTTGTTCCTGCTGATGCTCCTGCTCTTGCTGCATGGGTGTGTACAAAGAACTCATCGACGGGCTCCGGGGGCTGCTACTATCCGCGTAAGACCCCCACTGGCCACTGGTTGGAAGCAGCAGATGCTCCAGCACGAGCTGTTGCGGCTGCGGCTGCTGCTGCTGCTGTTTCAGAGGGTGGAGAATCTGAAAGCAACCAGCGAGCTGGGGCAGCACCTGACCGAAAGGGCCGTGGACGCCTTCGCTTTGCTGCTGCGGCAGCCCAACATACGCAGCATATCCAGCAGCAGCATCAGAAGTGGCAGCAGCAGCAGTGCGAATAGGGAAAAAGCCTCAGACGCAGCTAAATGTTTCTACTGCTGAAGCTGCTGTCGGCAGCAGCCAATTGCTGCATCGTCTCCTTACCACCGATGCACAAACTGGCCCCACGCAAAAGCGCTTGTATATCTCGCCGTCTAGCAGCAGGCGTTGCTGCGGCTGCAGCGTTGCTGCTGCTGTAGTTGCGTTTGCTGCCACTGCTGCTGAGACTACAAACTGATTCCACTCAGGGGTCCCGGGCAAGGCCCTTGCTGCTGCCGCTGCCCCTGCTGCTGCAGCGAGCGCAGCCGGAGGGTGCTGGAGCTGCAAGCTGCTGCAGCAGGGAGGAGCCACAGAAGCAGCCGCAGCATCGAGAGCAGCAAAAGCAGAAGACAATCGCACTGTAGGCGACAGCAGCAGATTTGATGCTGTAAGCGCCACCACCCCGGTTGCTGCTGCACCAACACGCACAGCAGCAGCAACGCAAGCAGCAGCAGCAACTGGAACATCGCCTTAGATCATATAAAACAATAGAAAGATAAATATAATCAACTGCGCCAACAACCATACGACAAACAGGACGATCATAGCAGCGCTATACGCTCTGGAAGCAGCAGCATCAACACCAGCCGCAGCGAGGGAGACACCGCAGAGGTGCAGGACCAACAGAGACAACCCCACACAGGCACGTGAGCTAGGAGGAAACTACACTTGAACACATGGCGGAGCCGAACACAGCAGCACAGTAGCGAGCAGCAGCAGCAGCAACAGCCGCAGCTGGTGTTTTAAAGCAAAAAATTGCGCGAATCTAACACACGCGCCACTATTTGGGGGGTGCAGAAGCAGTAGCAGAAACAGCAGAGCAGGCACTTTTTCATGGGCACAGTAGGAGCGGAGCCTCCCTTATGGCCCTCTCGAGAGAAGGCTTTTCCGGTGGATCACTGTTTTCGTCTTCAATGGGCCACTGGCCTCATCGACTGACCAGTGGGCTGCTCAAGTGCAGGACAAAAGACCGGCAGCACGTGATGGCAAGCGCCATGGGCCTTAAAGTGCTGCAGAGCAGCGCTCCACAGGAGGCCCCGGAGCCCGTTGTTTCCAGCGCTCAGCTGCAGTTCCTGCTGCTGCAGCAGGCCGCAGCAGCAACACACACAAGCAGCAAGCCCGTGCGCTGGTGCAGCTGGCAACAGACGGCCAGCAGCAGCAACTACACGCATCTGGCACCCTCCGCGGGTCAAGCAGCAGCAATCAGCGAATGGCACACTCCAGAAAACGCTCTTCCCCATGCAGCAGTGTGTATGGGGGAGGGTCGATGGCTACGCGGTGTCTGTCTGCCTTGCGGCATGCGATAGCCTCAGCTGCAGTGCTGCCGCTGCTGTTGGCAGCCTCTTGAGCAGCAGCAGGCATGCAGCCACACAGATACCCAGGCAGCAACAGCCCAAGAAGCAGCACCATATACCTTCTCACAGCAGCAGCGGCAACAGCCAGCGGACGGACAGACAAAAGCCTAACGCTACGCACAACACAGTGTTCAGCTCAGAGGCAGCAGCAGTACCAGCAATCCCACCAGTGCCTCGCCGAAGGCTCGGCGGCTGCGGGGGTCCAGGGGGCGGGCAAAAAGAACGTTGAGCACCTCACGCGTGAGCTGCGCGCGAGCGTTGATGCTGCTGCTGCTGCTGCTGGTGCTGCTGCTCTGTTGCTGGTCGCGATGATGCTGCACCAGCCGCGCATCGGACACCAAAACTCCTGGACCCGTTGCTGCTGCCCCCACATTCGTCCCTCCCGCTGCTGCAGCACCGTCTGCAGCTGCAGCAGGAAGCAGCCTTGTATGATGCGGGTTTTGTTGTTGCTGCTGCTGGTGTGCCATTGGCCCTGGGAGTGCAGCAGGAGCCGATGCGGCGAGTGGAGGATTTGCGCCTGCTGGTGATGAGGCAGCAGCAGGAGCTGTTGATTCCTCATCCTCAGCGGTGGAGCAGCCACCCAATCGCAGTAGAAAGGCTTCAAAGAGTCCGGCGTCGACTGCAGGCGGCAGCGCGCCAGACTGAAGCAGCTGCAGCGAAGTTGGGCGTTTCTGTGGGTCTTCCTGCAGCAGCAGCCTGTAGCAGCAGCAGCAGCGAAGGAATGATTGCGAAATCTGTCGAAGCTTCTTTCTGTGGTGCAGGAAATCCTGCTGCCGCAGCAGAAGGACAAAGTGCCGTATCAGCGAGAGCACCGAAGGAACAGCGACAGCAGGAGCACCGGCAGTAGGAGGGGGAGCAGCAACAGCAACTGCAGCAATAACAGCGGCAGCAAGAACAGCTCACTCAGCTATTGCAACGGCTCGAGGGGGCATATATCCCTTGAAATTTGTGCGTATGGCTTCCCGACTTATCAGTCGCGCAACCACTGGGCAAAGCAGCCACAGCTCCAGAAACAGCATTCTGAGAAGGCAAGCAGGGAGGCAGCATCAGCAGCAGCCGCAGCAGCGTCAGTGACCGTTGGCGGCGGCAGGTTCAACGGCTGCAGCAGCAGGACGTTTCCATGGGTCTGTAGCAGCAGCAGTATATCTGCTGCATCGCGAAGACCCTCCTTTTTTAGATAGACCCCGGCGCTGCAGGTGGAGACAGCCGGTTGGCGCCGCGACCCCATGCAGCAGCAGCAGCAACTACAGCAGCTGCATCAGGAGCAGCAGCAACAAGAGCACCACCAGCATCAGGAACAACATCAGAATCAGCCTCAGAAGCATCCGCAGAAAAGGCAACGGAAGGAGCAGCATCGGCAAGAACACCAGCGTCACCAACAAAAGGAGCAGCCCCAGCAACAGCAGGAGAATGAGGAGGCGGAGCAGCATGAAGAGCAGCAACAGCAGCAGCAAAATGAACAGCAGTTGCACGAAAAGCAGCGAAAACAGCAGCATGAGGGGGGGCACCAGCAGTAGCTGGAAGAGCAGCAGTAACTGGAGTGGCATTAGCATGATGAGCAACAGTAGCATGAGCAGCAGCAACAGCAAGCACGGACCCGATGGAATACATGTCAGCTTTGTCAGTGAATGGGTGGCCTTTATGGACTTCAGGGGCTACGAAGGAAGCGAAGGGGCTATCGGGAGGCAGCGGCACTAGCTGGCGCAGCCCAAAGTCTCCAACCTGCAGCAGCAGCGCGCACGCAACAGCGCGCAGAAAGCCCTCACCTGTTTGCACACCACGGCATTTCCACTGCCCCAGGAGACAACAGATGGGCAGCAGAGACAGACGATCGTCAGCCATCCCTCTACTTCAACCTCAACCAAGCAAAGCTGCAGGAATCAACAAAAGAATGAAGAAAGCCGAGCGGCACGCAAAAGAGGAGCTGCAGCAGCACGAGACAGACTGTTAAGGTGCGCATACACCCCATGCTCACCTTCATAATGAGGCCTTCGGAGCCCTCAACTAGGAAAACATTCGAAGGATGCAGGGCCCGGTGACAAGCCCCAGCGCGATGTACACAAACGATCGCCTCTAGCAGCTGAAGCAGAAGCAGCAGCAGCAGGACGGCTCATGGCTTTTCCGCAGCAACAGCATGAAAGGTTGGCCCAAGACATTAAGCGTAGCAACAGAGAAAGTAACGCCACAAGAGGCAGCAGCCGTAGAAGCTGAAGACGACCGGGTGCGGCCGAATTCGCAGCAGCTGCTCCACCGGAAGCAGCAGCAGGAGGAGGAGCAGCAGCAGAAAGTACCTGCATAAAAAGTCGCCAGACATCTGCTATTTTGAGGGTTCTCCCTTCTTTTGTCAGCCGCTGCAGTGTCAATTCATAGTACTCCATCTGCACGAAAACAGAAAGCTGCGTCTGGTCCTCACCAGCTGCTGCTGCAGCTGGAGCTGTAGTTGCTGTTGCTCCAGTTGTTGCTGCAGCTGCTGCTTCTGCTGTGTCTCCGCATGTTCCTTCCCCTTCGCCGTCTGGCCCCGCAGTAGCGGGCTGTATTGATGCTGCAACATCAACAGCAACAGAGGCAGCCACAGCAGAAGCAGTGCAGCCTGCAGCCGAGTGAACCTGTCGAAGGTGTTGCTCCTATTTTGTTGAGAGATCCTACCCGTCTCTGCAGCGGCTAGGTCTTGCGTAGCAGCAGCATCACCAGCTTGGGCAAAGGCAGCAGCAGGAGCAGCAACAACAGCAGGAGCAGCAGCAACAGCAGGACCTGCTGCAGGAACCCCTTGGGTTGAAGGGGGAGGCGTATTCCTTGGTGTTGGCCTCAAAGGTTTGTGCATCAACTGAGACCAGCACTGGTGATAGCGCATCAGAAACTGCAAACGTAGCAGCAAGAGCACAGCCAGCGGCAGACGCACCACCAAAGCATGTGGAGAGGCCTGATAAACAACCCCCCAAACAGTCGGTGCAGCGCAATACCACCACCCTTGCACGAGTAGCGTTGCTTGCCGCTACCGTGAGCCGTACATTCACTGCAGCACCAAGAGCACCAGCAAGAGCAGTACCTACAGGGTGCTCCAGCGTGCAGAGCATCGCAACCTCGTGCAGCACCCTCTCGGCATCGGCTACAACGTCCAGCCCTGAAATATGCCACCTTTGCAGTTGCTGCTGCAGCTGCTTCTCGCGCTCCTGTAGCTGCTGCTGCTGCTCCTCCTCCTGTTCCTGCTGCCGCTGGTGCTGCTGGGGCAAATCATCGTAAACTCTGGTGTACTGCATCTTGTGTTTTTTCTTGCCTTTCTTTCTCTTGTGGCGTTGTTGCTGCTGCTCCTGCTGCTGCTGCGGAGAGTCAGGCTGCAGGAGCTGTTGCTGCAGCGCGTCTGGCCCCCCCTTCGCGCGCTGCAGCAGAGAGCGTGGAATAAAGAAGAAGAACTCCTTCACCAAATACAGCCTGCTGTCGATCAGGTGCCGCACTAGACAGCTGCGTTTGTGAGCTTGAGAAGACAGCACCTGCCTCACGCCCCAACACACACCACAGCACTGCAACAGCAGCAATGCAGCAGCACCTAAGCAGCAGCAGGGCTGCAGAGCAACACCACGACGTCCGCAGCGCCAGCGCAAACTCAGCAAGCACCCCCAGCCACAGCACATGCAGCAGCACCAGCACCAGCAGCAACAGCAGCAGCACCAACGTGACTTGCTTCTACGAGCAGAAAGTCTCTGCGGTGCCTCGGCTGTTGGTGGACGATGTGCTGCAGGAAGCTGAAGATGTTTTCTTGCTGCTCAGCTGGGTAAAATTCGGCACTGCTGCTGCTGCTTCTGACGCCTGCTGCAGCTGGACCCATCTGTGCAGCAACAGCAGCAAAAGTTGCACCTTTTGCTGCAGTTGGTGATGTTGCTGTTGCTGCCCCTGCAGCTGATGCTGCTGCTGCTGTTATTTTTGGAACCCTAGGCAGCTCCTCAGTGGCTTCTAGAAAAGCACGGACTCTGCCGCTGCCTGGGGTCGGCCATCCTGCTGTTCCTGACGCTCCTGCTGTGTTAAGGCTTCGCTGCACGCAGACGGGCCAGTCAGAGCACAAGGCGGCCAGCTGCTGACAGCAGCTAGCTGCAACAGCAGCGAACAGAGGCAGCCAGCAGCACCAGCTAGCAGCAGCGGCACCAAGGAAGAGCAGAAGCAGAAGTCAAGGCGGTGGCTCACCTGTGAAGGGCTGACTTTCAGCTGCCTGAGGCTGCTGCTCGACGAGATCGGGCCTGGCCCTCCGTACAGACAGCTCTGACGACGCACGTTCGCAGCAGCAGCAGCAGCAGCAACTCGTGCAATAGCAGCAGTAGCAGCGACAGCATAACGTGCTGCACCAAACAAACTGAAACTGCATCTGCAGGGCGTAGCAGCCTAGTAGCAAGGACAGCAACAGAAGCAGCACAACAACAGCAACAACAGCAGCAGAGGCCGAGTAATAGCAGCAATAGCAGCACACCTGGAAGTCCGAAACTAGGTTTCGGGCAGCAACCGAAGCGCGGCTGGGTCTGCTCAGCCCCTCTGGAACGTTGCAGCTGCAGAGAAAATCACAAAGCCCTTCCTGTCCTGTCTGTTTTTGCCTCTGCTTCTAGTGCTGCTACTGCAGCATTCTATCCCACGAGAAAGGTGATAGCAGCGCCGACACAGCGGCGGCAGCAGGAACCCGATTTGCATTGAAACTCCTGCTCCACTGAAAAAGCAGCAACAGCACGAGTAAAGTGGCAGCAGCAGAAGCAGCAGCAGCAGCAAAGCAAAGCAAAGCCAAGCCTACATAGGCGCGAGAGGTAAAGCCCCTGCCGCTTGCTGTCCTTCTCCTCTGAGTCTCGCAGCAACCGCCATGTGGAATTCTGCTGCTTGTTGCTGCGTCGTTGCCGCGTCTCCGTCTCGTGCGGCTGCTGCTGCTGCGGCTTCTGCTGCTGCGGCTTTTTTGCTTTTGTGCAGAGTCCCCCGCCTCGCACGGTCTCGCATCAGCTGCAGCTGTAGCTGCTCCAAGTGCTGCTGCTGCTGCTGCTGCTGCTGCTGCACTCGCTGTTGCATCTCTTCCCATAGATTTGGTTGGGAAGGCAGTCGCACCAGAAACGTCTCAACGTGCATCGCCAACGCATGCAGAAGCACCTCCCGCCTGCGGCAGCGGCAGCATATCACCCACGGCAGCGGCACCCGCAGCACACCACCCACAGCAGTAGCAGCGGCAGCATCGCATTACCCACAGAAGCAGCGGCAACCAACGCGGCGAAGAGGAGAAGCAACGGCACGCATCCGTAGCACAGCACGACCGGCAGCAACAGCAGAAGCAGCAGCAGCGGCAGTAGCAGCCTACGGTTCCTTGTAATAAGCAGTCGAGAGCTGCTGCAGCAGCAGCCCCAGTCTCTCTGCTGACGGATTGCAGGACAGCCCAACGCAAACTGTCGGCCGTGCAGCCGGATATCTGCAAAATCTCACTTAACACCGCGGGAAGCAGCAGCACTAGAAGCAGCAACACCAAAGGCACCAACAGCAACAAAAACGGCAACTGCAGCAGCAGCGACAGCAGCGGCGTTGGCGCTGCCGTGCCAACCCAAAGCGTTTCCCCGAATGTTGCCCAGAGGAAGGGAAAAAAGTAGCACCAGTAACAACGAAGCAGCAGCACTACATGCGGCAGCAACTACAGTGGCAGCAACAGCAGGAACATACGTTGGCGGCAATAGGGCATCAATGACTGCTGTGTGCTCTTCTCTCCTGAAGGTGCTGATATGGAAAGCTATACGGACAGACTCCTTGCTGCTGTTACTGCCGCTGCTGTTGCTGCTGCTGTTGCTGCTGCCAAGACCGCGGCCGTCGCCCCCCAGACGACTGCCACAACACTCGCAGCGGCAGCAGAAGGCCACTTTGAGCTGCTGCTGCGGCGATAGGGGTGCTGAAGAGCAGCTATCCATGCTGCTGCTGCTCTTGCAACTGGCGTTGCTGCCTCTGCTGCTGCATCTGCTGCTAGGGCCTTCAACACCGCCACCACTCTGCCGACGAACCTTGCTGCTGCTGCTGCCAGCCCCAGCCCCAGCAGCAGCAGTCGAGGATGCATCGTAGCGGCAGTAAAAACAATTCAGCGGAGAGAGCAGCAAAAAGGTTGCGCAGGCGGTAGAAAAAAGATGCCCCGCATTCCATGGGAAGACTTTGTTGCTGCTGCTGCTACTACTACTACTGCTGCTGCTGCTGCTACTGCTGCTACCGCTGCTGCTGCTACTGCTGCTGGTGCTGCTGCCGCTGCTGCTGGCGGCGCCGCTGCTGGTCGCGCGCAGCGCAGCAACCGCTGCTACCGCCGCAGCACAGGTGTGGTCGACCTCCGCTAGAAACGTCTCTGGCAGCAGCCTGCAGCACAATACCACGCATTCCGAAGCAGCAGTGTTGCAGCAGCAACAAGCAGCAGAGAGCTGGTGATGCAGCAAGCACACAAAACAGCAGCACAGGCGGCTCAGGAAAGGGCAGCTGCAGCACAGTAACAGCAGCAGCAAGAACTGCAGACGAGGAACTGCTGTTGAATCTGCTGAATTGTTGCAAGCGCTGCAACAGCAGCAGGAGCAGCAACCGCAACCGCAAGTGCGCACCCGCGCTGCAGCAGCAAGAGAGGGGGATAGAGGGCATCGAGAGCCCTTATCTCGTCCATGAGCTCATCAGAGCATGGCTGTTGCTTCTTTGACTGCAGAAGCGGTAGCTGCAGCTGTTGCTGTTTCTGTAGTAGCAGCTGCTGCCGCTGCAGCACGCGAACAGCTATCTCCTCGTGACCGCTGGTTCCCGGGTGAAGCTGGGCCCCACATATGCATTCCGTGACACTAAAGCAGCAGCTGCTGCTGCTGCCTGCAGCGCTGCTACTGCTGTTGCTACTGCTGCTACTGCTTGCGCTGGCAGCAAGGGCCTGCCTGGCCCGCCGCTTTGTTGCTGCTTCCTGCTGCTGCTGCTTCCTCGACTTGCGCCGGGCATGCCGCTGCTGCGGCTGCTCCCCCCAGTTGTTGTCATCCCACAGGAAAGAGACAGCAGCACGAGCTGATGTCCGAGGCTCTGGGACAGCAGCAGCTGCTGTTGTTGCTGCTGCCGCTGCAGCATGTCTTGCGGGAGGGTCTGCTGGTGCCGCTACTGCTTCCCCTGGAGGCAAGGTTGCACGCGCAACAGCAGCAGCGCCTTGTGCTGCGGCTGCATCGCTTGTCGTGTTTTGAGATGTGCTGGAGATCCGCTTCTTCCCTACTGTCTTGCGCCCCATGGATGCTGCTGCACCTGCTGCGGCAGCTGGGCTGCGGTGACCCTGAGGCCACTCTTGTGCTGTTGCTGCTGCTGCTGCCGCGCTTGCTTCTGGGCCTGGGCCTTTTGTTGCTGCAGAAGACAGTCGATGGGTTGCTGTGGGGTGACCATTCGCTGCTGTTCTGTACCCGCCGCTGACATGTGCCCCGTGCTGCTGCTGCGCCTGCTACTGCAGCAGCAGCACAATACTCGCTGCTTCTGCTGGCACTTTTTCAGCTTCATACGGGGATGCAGCTGGGCCCCTAAAGCTCGCAAGTCCCTTAGAAGAGTTCGCAACACCGGAGCCCAACACCGCCGCCTTGTGGTTGCTGCTGCTGCTGCATGTTTTGCTGCAGCAGCCTGCAACAAAGTGAAATTGACTGTGGTGGCACTCTTGAGTGCCTAATGTGTATTGAGTCAGCAACAGCTGCATCAGCATCTACTGCTGCTGCTGCTGCTGCTGCTGCTCGCGCGGCGGCCGCCGCTGCTGCTGCCCCCGTTTGGGACCGCCGCGAGGCCACATTCTTGGGAAGGGAGATACTTTGAAGCAATAGCAGCGGCAGCCAAAGCGGCCATTGACTCACATGCTCAAGATCCCATTGGTGTTTATTCCCTTCCGCCGTGTCCGCGCCTCCGCTTAACTGCAGCCGACTGCCGCCCACTGTCTCTTGCAGATGAAGCAATTGCTCCTGCTGCAGTACCGGGGGCAGAAGCAGCCGCTGCTGTTATCAAGCCGATGAATAATCTCTTTTACGCGGTGTTGGGGGGCGAATATGACGTAACTGCCCTTCGCCCGCTACGCAGCAACAACAGCAGTTGCGGCAACAGCGGCTGCAGCTCAACAGCAGCAACAGCGGCAGAAGCAGCGCCGTGCCCGTCAAAGGCCCTTTTGGGGGGCCCTTGATGGAACGGAAAGGACAGGTAGGCGCTGCAGCCGCAGGAGCTGCAGCAGCAGGCGCAGCAACGGGAGCAGCCCCAGCTGCTGCTGCAGAAAATAGTGCAGCAGCGGAGGCAAGGTCAGCTGCAGCAGTGCGTTTCTGTGCTACATGGGGCCTAGTGTGCTCCTGCTCTAACCCTCAGTCGTGCAGCAGCATAACGGCAGCAGCAGCGGCAGCGGCAGCAGCCGATGTCTCTCTTGGCACCCCTGCAGCAGCGGCAGCAGCAGAAGCTGCTGCTGCAGCAGCCGAAGGGTTCACCAAAGTGTCGCTGCGCATTTGCTCACGTTGGCGCCATGCTTGGTGGAATCAGCACCAGCCTACTGCTGCTGCTGCGGGAGTCCGTGAAGGTGGAGCAGCGGCCGTTGAAGCAGATTCCGCACTGGAAGCTCTCACCTCAGGTGCAGAGCTGATGCAGCAAGACGACGGCGAAGGAGAGTGCCTTCTCCTGCTGCATAAGGACAGCAGCGGCAGTGGCATCAGCAGTAGCAGCAGTCGCAGTGAAGATTCCTACATCTGCGGCTTCCTGGTGCAGTTGTCCTCTAGCATCTACTATAGGGGTTTGCTGCTGTCTTCTGACCTTCATGGACCTCTCCGCGACAGCGCAGCTGCTGCCACAAGTGTTGCTGCAGTGCTTGGCGGCAGCAGCAAAAGCAGCAGCAACTGCAGCAAAGTGGTGCTCGTGCTGCATCGCGCCCGGCCCCGCTCTGATTCGGCTCCAGACCCTCCCGGAGCAGGAGAAACCGCAACAGCAGCATCTGGGGGGACAGAGCTGCTGCTGACGCTGGTTTTGAGGAGCAGCAATCTGTTGTGTATACCGCTGTGTCGCCCCATTGTGCTGCAGCCGGTGTCTCCTGCTGCTGCTGCCCGAAGCATTTTCGCTGCTGCGCTGCAGCAGCAGCGAGTGCACCAGCAGCTTCTGGAGAGCTTTCGCGCTGCTACAACGGACGCGTTGCAGCAACTTCAGGACAATGTACGAAGCATGGAGTCCGCTGCTGCTGCAGCGCAGCATCAACGGGAGCTGCTGCTGCTGGGTTGCTGCAGGCTGCTCAACGAAAAGAAACGACGCTGCCGTCACTTGCAGCAGCAGCTGTTGCTGCTGCAACAAAAGGAAGAGCAGGAGCAGCACAGCGATACCAAGCCACTTCAGCAGCAAGAGCCCGTGCAGCAGCAACAGCAACAGCAACAGCAACCGCAACAGCAGAGGCGGAGAACCCCCACAAGGGCCAAGGTAAAACAGAAAGCTATTATGGTTGCTGCAGGGAGTCCATGTGCTGCCGCTGCTGAGCGTGCAGCGGGCAGCAGCAACAGCATCGGCAGTGCGTTAGTGAGCAGGCGATGTGCTGCACCAGATGCTGCACGAAACCATGCGGCAGCAGCAACGACCGACGCAGCAGTGCCAACACGAACAGCGGCAGCAGCAGCAGCTACTGCCGATGCTCGAGTCGTAGCACCGGCAGCTGATGACGCTCACGGAGCAGCAGCAGCATCGACAGCACCAGCGGAGGTTGCTGATGCTGCTACAGCGGTAGTTGCTGCAGCGGCAGCACGAGCTGGTGCTGCCGATGCTGCTACAGCAACTGCTGCTGCTAATACTTCGTCTTTATTGTCAAAGAACGTGCTCATTTCAACACCAGAATTGCTGCCACTAGCGCTGCAACAAATCTGTGTCAAGGCGGAGCCTACGCAAGAGCCTGCAGGCCGCATGCAGCAGCAATGCGAGCAACAGAAAACGCTGCAGCAGCAGATGGAGCAGCAGCAGCAACCACAGCATCAGCAAGCACTGCAGCAACGAGCATTGCAGCAGCAAGTGGAACAAGACGCGCAACACAAGCAGCAGCGGCAAGGGGGAGAAGCAAACTCCCTGCAGCAGCTGCTGCTACAACTGCTTAGCCAGCAGCAGCAGTCGCCAGCCGAATGCGCTGAACCGTCGCAGCAGCAGCAGCACGACGAGCTGCAGCACGAGCAGAAGAGGCAGCTGCAACTGGAGGAAAAGCAAAGCAACGAGCAGCAATCGCACGAGCAGCAGCCGGAGCAGCAGCAACTGCAGCACGAATCGACAGATACGGAGAGTGCTTCGGAGGAGACACTGCCGCTGACGCAGAGGCTGCAGGAGACTGAAGAAGGAGACGCACAGGAGTACGACGGGCTGCCACCGCACGACGCCCCTGCTGCTGCTGCTTCAGCTGTTACTGGTGCTGCGTTTCGTGCCTGCCCTGTTGCTACTGCAGAAGCAGATGCCTCCAAGCGGCGGCGGCACTCTCAGGGAGAGCAGGAGCAGCAACGGCAACAGCAACAGGAACAGCAACACCAGGTGCGGCAGAAAGACCAACAGCAAGAACAGGTGCTGCAGCAAGAGCAGCGGCAGCAACATCAGGCGCTGCAAGAGCAGCAGCAAGAACAGCAGGCGCTGCAGCAAGAGCGGCAGCAGCGGACAGGTCCTTTATGGCGGCGCAAACGCAGTTTTACTTTCCTCTAATTCTTCCCCTTTTGTGCTTGCTTAAATTTTTCATGAATAGTTGAGCTACATTGTCTTCTCATGCATTTTTTGTTGTTTATCTGGTAACTTGCTGGTTTTGCTTCTGCGCCTTGACGGTCGTACGTTGCTGGTACAGTTCACCATCCCTGTTTCTTGTAGCTTTTGGTGCTTCTAGGAGCATTCTGTTTGGCACTTCGCAGCAAACCAGCAACTCGCAGGCAGCAGCAACAGGCGAGCAGGCACCTCAGCGTAACCCCACACTTCAGCGATTCAACCAACGCCTCGAACTGTCCACAGCCCTCAAGCTGCGCAGGCCTTCAGCTGCTCATGCATTTCACTTCTCGTACCTCGAATTCTCCATCCACCTTTGGATGCGGTACCTTCCCAAGTGTACAGATGCACAGGAATTGTGTACTGCAAGATGGTATCAATAAAGTTGTATGTATTTTTTTCTCGCGTCCACGGCGTCTACTGAGTACAAGAAAGCGTGCAACAATAGTCTACGATTTAGTTGCATGCCTCAGAAGTAGGGTTGGGTCTTGCGCGTGCATGTGAGGTTGCCTTCAATAAGGGAGTTGGTGCAAGGAGTGCAGCAATATGTCACGGGCCACCTCCCGTCTGAACTAGCCCCCGGTCCAGTGCGGGCGTTCCCAGAGCGCCTGGAAATTGGTGGGAAGGTTAGTTGCTTGTTGGGAGCACTTACCTAAAGCCTTTAAATCTTCTGCAGCTCACGGCAATCCTCTGCTAAAGCCAAGAACCCTCGTTGCACTTGGCATCACACGGTTCAGAAAGAAACAGTGCACCCTACCAACTTCACCCAGACAGCAGGGCGGCATGGTGCATAGCGCCGATTAGTAGCTAAGGCGCTTTGCACAACACAAATCTTCCGATATTCTCCAAAATATTATTCGGAGATTCAGCTGCTTTGCTCTTCTTGCACATGGAGACTTATCAGCGTCTGCCCTTACAAGGGAAAGCAGCAGCACTGAAAAGTCAGCAGTATAGGCAGCCCAAACAGGAGACAATGTTTTTACCATAAGGACATTCGCCAAGAATGAATGCGCCTTTTCCGAGGTACGGGCGTTGCGTTTGAAGAGTTTCTTGCTTCTCTACAGTTTTACTTTCTGCAAGGTGCTCCCCGCTCGTTACAGTTACTATTGGCGTCCTCATTATTAGAAGAGGGCACATGGGCGTGGAAACTATACCGAAGCAACGTTGCACCTTTCCCGGAGCTCATCCCGAATGTGGAGGCTTTTCACCTTGCTTTGCGAAGTAGGTTTATCCCCAAGACAGCAAGAGGACAGTCCACGGAGTAGCTGAGAAGATTTAAAGTAGGGAAGTTATCGATTGGGCGATAGAGTGAGAAGTATCATTTGTCGGAAAACAGATGTTCAAAGGTGGACCCGAAACTTCTGCATCAATGATGTATGGCAGCTCTGTCCTCAGGTGGACGACAATCTGGCTGGGAGGCAGACAGGGAAGCAGAGGGCAACAGAGCGAAAGGGCAGCTTAAGACGCAAACGAAAACGACAGTCAGGCGATGATCCATATAAAAATTCTTATATTGAGTCTGTTAATGCCAGGTCCGCTCAGAAAAGTGCAAGATGCGAAAAAATAAAGCTGCGGCCAAATCTGACACTCAGAGAACCGGAGGGACATGCCGCGAGGCTGATATTCCTCTTTTCATCACATAGACTGCAGCTAAGGAATTGGAGCAGTCCTTCGAGGAGCGCCGTGACGGGAACCAACGAGACCATCGCGGGAGTGCCCTGGCCCCCCTTGCAACTTGCTGCGAAGTGAAGAGGACGATAGAGGTGGCAGCCACAGCTGCACATCCACTTCCAGCCAACTCAGCCTTATACAAGCTAGCAATAATGATAAGGAGCTGCTAGCGAGACTTGACGGAGGCTGCGAAGTGGATTTGATATCTGGAGCTGCGGCGGGGAGATGCAACCTTCCTGCCTATTTGTTGGCGTTCTCTGTTCGACTGCACTCCGCCGACGGCGGGCAGGGCACGGTAATCGGTGAAGCTATGAGCGGCAAAATGCGAATTTAATTCAGCATGCCGTGATAGGGAGCTTCCATTTTGAACCAGTACATAACGAGATATTATCTTTGGCATTCCATGCATAAATCAGTGGGAGAGCACGCGCCCTCCAGACGAACACCATTGGCGTGTATGCACAGGGAAGCAATGAGCGAATGCACTTCTCAATCCTCCCAACGCCATTTGTTCCCTTTGCGGCAACCAGAGTGAAAACAGATTTCTACAGAAGGGAGCAAGAGAGCTCCAACGGTTTGCAGAGCTGCTGCCGGACACAACGGAAGTGCATTCATGGTGGTGTTTAAAAGACGAAGTGGGAGCGATTCGGTCCCAGTCAACGCCCGACTAGTAGCAAGCGAGGTGCAACCGTAGGGCCGCCAATACTCTGGATGCGCAATGGCCACACCCGAGCTTTCTTTCGAGGTCCAAAGGACCCACAAACCTTGCAGAGGGATGGGGTGGGAAGCAGACACAGTGCTGAGAAAAGGTAGACAGACAGGTGTGTTCAGAGACGGCCCGGTTCTGAGAAAGAAGAAGGACAGTGTCCGTCAACTTCAAGCCCCTCAACAAAATCACGGCAAAGTAAAAGTCGTCCATGCCCCACGTCGAAGAAGTACGTGACCGTTTGCAGGGGAAAGAAGTCTGCTTATTATTTGACTGGGATGGTGCGTTTTTCAAACTCCGATGCATGCCGACGACAAGCGAAATCCGCCCTTGTACTACCGTACTCAGCAACCGCTGCACACCTGTAGGCCCCCAGAAAATGCAACTGCCGAACTGCAGAGGCGGGCCAACCACGATTTCTTGAGGCCAGGCAATGAAGGGTGAATGGTTATATGCATGTACGGCGTTCTTGTGTTTAGCCGGCATGTGCAGGATCGATTGCACCACATGCAGCGTGGTCTGAGATTGCTACGTGAAAACCAGAGGTCACAATTATCATTGGCTTTTCTACGACGATTCAGGGAGTTGTTGTTTCCTTACAGTATCCCAGCAACATTTATATTGCGGGCAGGATCAACTGTGAGAGACCCAGGAAGAAATTGAGGTCCTGGAAACACATGCAACTAGTCGCAAAGTCCGCGTCAAAGAATATCCTATGCTCAATGGCCAATATACTGACAATTCAAGTGGCTTTTTGAGTACCGCTTGTGCGAAACAACTCCGAAGGGGCATCTGTATGCCATCCATGAGCCCGCGGCGGCGACTAAAAGTGTGGGTGTGCCTATAGCCTAAACTTGGATTGCATTCCATCGCCTAGTGACAGTTGCTCTGCCAGGTGTAAAGAAACGTTCATATATTCACATCTAAGCCTTCTCCGGCGTCAATTACTTTCCGCCGTAATCGGCGCCCTTGCTTCTTTCTACCTTTTATGGCTTAGTGGTGTTGGCATGCACAGCCCTGATATCTAGTGGCTCTAAATCTAGGTCGTTTCCCAGCCCATTTTCTTCCTTCTCGGCTAGGGCAGTGGAAGCGGCTTTTTCGCCTTAATGGGCATGAACCCGATGGTCACTGCGGGGCTAGCCCTTCCCCATATTAGTTCCCAGCTGCCTCTCAGAGGAACAGTCTGAATTGTTGATACAGAAGCTCCGAAGCTCCAAGTCCGCCAGTGGACTGCTGGTCACGGACTCATACGGTCCTTTGCACCGCTGCATCGATGGCTGGCGTCATACAATTTTTCTCGTTTCCAGCATATACTGCTTCCTTGCCGAACTGGTAAGAATCGTACATAGCAGATCATGTCGGAAGGCTCCCACAATCCGGGTGTGCTCCGGAAAAATGGTACCCAACTTACATGCATTCACCACTGTCGTGCCTCCCGCTCTCACGTGGAAGAAGGAACTAGCAACTATAGCGCTTCAAGCGCATTCCAGAGACGAAAATACAACCCCAAAAAAGCACGTAAGTCTTACACTGCCCCCGCATTGCAGCGCTCGTCATATCTGGACGGTCTGGAAAGGCGGAGGCACTTTTCGTAAAATGTTTTACTACGAAGGCATGTTCCGCTAGGCGCGATGCAGATGCAGCGTTCTTTCTCTTCAATGCGATGAATCTCCCGGTAGAGGGTCGCTTCCCTCCAGAGTTGCTTTGATAGGCAACCCCGCATCCTGCACTACTGCACTGAACCCCATGTTGAAACCGAAGATATTCATGTAACGCTCGAAAATCACTAACTGTCCTCCCTACGCTTGGGTTATGTGGTTTAGGCAGGGGAAAGTAAGGCAAACAAATTGGTACTTGAGCCCAGTTCACCTCTTCCACGTAATTCAAGCAGGCCATGCTATGCAACCAACCTTCCCCTGACCTTGGTGAGGAAATGGGGGGAAGGGCGTCAAGCCACTTCCACAAGACAAAGGCAAACTGCATGATGCTGAACTAGATACATGACAAGTACGTTCCACCCAGCATTAAAAAACTTGCGCAGCTGTGCATGAAGGGATTTCCTCCCTGGGACAGTTGCAGACAGTCCCATCGGCGTAACGTACAGCCTCAAATGTGTAGTGCACAGTAGTATATATAATGTTGCACAGAAGCACTATTCAGAGGCCACATAATTAGGAAGGAGTACAATTGATGTGTAACTAGAAATAAACCAAACAAAGAAATTTAGTTCAGGAGCAGTTCAGGCTGAGGGTGCTCTGGAGTTACGTCCACGGTATAGGTTTGGCAGTTCCACTGATATTGCCAATGTGCATAGCACGCTGGAAAACAATGCAGGTGTACTGCCCGTTACAATAATGTGTGTTTCTGTGCCTTTAGCTAGTAGAGACAGGAATGCACCTCTGTAGCCAATGAGGGAACATCAAGTAGTGTAGCTGGCCACAGCTCGGTAGAGCCGCAGCCAATATACGGAGCCAGCAGGTGAAGCAGCGGCAGCGTGCAGAGCTTCTCGAGGAACACGATTTTAATGCGTATATCCACTTGATTCACTAATTGTACTTTGTTTGTTTTTGTTATTTTTTCCTTTCCCACTAACTCAGACCTCCCGCTCAGAACCGCCTCGCAGAAGCCGACGCTGTACGGCGGCCGCGGGAGTATGTTGTGCTCTGTGTTCGTTTTTAACCATTATTCCACACCTTAACTTTTGATTAACGCTAAGGAAGCTAGATGCACGCCTGAGGTGCGCCGAGAGCAGAAGAAATACCTACTCGGGGGGGCAGGCCAAGCAAAGACACAGGAGACAGCCAACGAATACAGGCACAAGAGAGGACAGCGGTCAACAAAGGAGCAGCGGATGTGGTGAAGGACGGCAGGATCTGCTGCGCTGTGGCTGCTGCTAGTTGGCCTGCGTCGCTGCTGCTGCTGCAGTGGGACTTAGCAGGGTGCCGAGAGAGGCTTCCGCTGCTGCAGCGGAGAAAGACCGCTGCTGTTATTGCTGCTGCCAATGATGATGGTGATAGACATGCTCCGTTCGGCTTGGGTCTCTGTGAAGGAGGGGGTTGTGGATTTTCGTTCTCAGGAGGTGTTGCAGCGTTTGCTGCTGTCTTTGTTTGTGTTGGGGACGGGTATGGGGTTTGTCTTTGGGTTTGTAACGGAGTCCTTCAGCAACAGCTGCTGCATCCTGCTAACCACTGCTGTTGTTGCTGCAGTCGTATGCGTGCCTTCGTGGCCGCTGTACAAGCAAAACTCAATTTCCTATGCCCCGCACGACCCCTCGCGCATCGCTCGGCTGTATGGTGAAGAATATGTAGCTGCTTCACCTGCAGCAGCAGCCGATCCTGCTTCAAAGGGTGAAGGAGAAGCATCTGCGACTTCCTCTGGAAAAAAGCACAAAGCCTCTTCAAGAAAAAAACAATAAATAGACCCTATACCCTCACGGGCAGTTTCCACAAGCAAACCCTCTACCCTAATCTGTGTGCATTACCAGGGCGTAAAACCTACCGAACGATTGCCGCACAGCAAGCTGAACAGGACTGTTCTAGCTTGCAAGCCTTACACTGCAAGCCCTAAACCCTAGACCGGATTGCCTCCTTGGGCTTTTACCTGTTCGTGCAGGCACTAACCTCCCTCGGAAACAGTTCATTGTTTTCTCATCAAGTGCTTCTAACTATAACTAGTTGACTCATTTTTTTGCTCAACAAAAGCTGAAAAATACAGCCAGGAGCCGCAAGGCCAGCGCGGCTATGTGGAGGGGCCTTGCTGCGTTGTCTTCAACAGACTTTGAGAGGCTCCTCTGTCCATGCAGGCTTGTTTCCCTCCGTTTGACTTCTTGCTTCTGTGTTTGTTTGTCTCTCCATTTGCTTGTTTTCCTGTCGTTGCTCGTCTCTGCTTTTTTGTTTGTCGCTTTTTGTTTGCGTGCTGGCGTATTTGTCTGTCTGTGTCTCTCCGTCCTCGTGCCTGTGTCTGTCTGTCTGTGTCTGCGTTTGCGTCTCTGTTTGGGTCCCTCTTTCTCTCTGCTTGTCTTGAATACGTTGGCTTTCTTTTGTTTGCCCCTCTCTATTTGCTTGCCCCGCTTTTTTTTGGGTGTGCGTTTCTCTGTTTGTCTCTGCCGGATCGTGTTTTTCCCTCTCTGGTTGTCTCTATTTTTATGCCGGTCTTTTGCGTCTCTTCTCCTGGCGTTGTGTCTCTTTTCTCTCCTGCTTAATGCTGTTCGCTGCCGCCCATCCATTTAAGTTCTTGCGGTGGCTTCTGGAGCTTTCTTGTACTGCTTGCCCCGTCGTGAGTGGAGCTGCTGCTCTCGCTTTGCTGGTGGGGGTGCAGCACGCAGCGCAACAGACGAGCGGGGCAGGCGATTACATCACAGCAGCAGCAGGCTGCTGCTGCGAAGTACCGGCAGTAACTGAGCAGCAGCAACTGCCTATTTCTGGACAGTAGACGCAGCTAAGGAAGAGACGCCTTAGCCGCCCTTCTCGCTCCAAAGCCTGGCCATTAAAACACAGTCCAGAGGCTTCGTTCTGCCAACGCCATAAGCACCACAAACCGCTGCAGCTGCATCAGCAATAGTTGCAGCATCTGTGATACTAACAGCCGCCGCAACACCTCCACAGAGAACTAAACTGCGGCGATGACGCCCTTCGAAAGTTCAGGGCGAGCGGGCCCCACGGATCAGCTGGCTTGCTAGCCCCCGAAGCTACCCTGCTGGAGTAGCCACCTAACTAGCCAGCAAGCCGAATCAACGACACCACCCGTTCATGGCTGCAGCTGCAGCTGGGTGGGTAGCGACACCCGTTGGGAAGCACCTTCATGGTCTCTAGTTGACTAGCTGCGTGGATAGCTAGTTACCGGGTTGAGTAGGTGGTGGCGCCACCTACGTTCTCTGCGTCCGCAGCCCGCTAACTACCCGGCTGGTGCAGGCACTGGCGCAGCGCACTGGCTAGCTAGGGGGCGTCGGGGAGCAGAGATGGCTAGCTAACTGCTAGCTGGCCGGCTAGTTGGTTGCACCTACGGTAATGAGGTGGCTCCCGTTGAACCCCTATTCCCAGGCGTGTGCAGGGGCCAAGGCAACGTCTTCTGCAGGTTGTTGAGAGCTAGCCAGAGGCCAGCCAGCTAGCTGATTCACGTTTGGGCGTGTCTCCTGTGGAACACCTCCTCTGGAAATTGAGTCGGCTGCGACGTTCTGCCTCTGGTGAAGCTCTGAGCAGCAGACAGCTGCCTGGTGGCTCCCGCCTTGTGCCTACAGCCCTTCGGGGCCGTGTTGCCTGCAGCAGCATTAGCAGCAGAAGCTGCTGCTGCTGCTTCTCGCCTTTGTGAAGCTGTCACGACCATGCAGCTCGCTGAGTCTTCTGGATAGAGTTCATCATCTTCTGATAGTACGGAGGCGGCTCCAGAGGGAACGGCGCCGTCCCCCAACGCTGCCCGTGCCGCTCCTTCGAAAGAATTTCCCCTGCGGGAGACGCCGGGCTGCAGCTGGCGCTGCCGCTGCCGCTGTTGCTGCTGCTGCTGCTGCAGTGCACCTTCGCGTGTAGAAAGGGATATTCTACGAGCTACCCCGTCCTGAGGCCCCCACCCGCCTCCTGCCGCTGTTGCGGCTGCTGCTGTTGCGGCTGTCACTTCAGCTGCCGCAATCTGTTGCTGCGGAGCAACAGCAGCAGCAATGTAGGCACCCGCTGCACCTGGCTGAGGCCCTCCTTCAGCTGAGGATGAGAGCGCTACGTGCTGTTGCCTTAGCTGCCGCTGCTGCTGCTGCAGCAACAGCAGCTGCTGTTGCTGCTGCTGGTTTGGGTAGGGGATTTGTCGGTATTCGTCTTCTGCAATAGCAGCAGCACCACCCCCACCGCCAGTGCTGTTGCTGTCTCCATCTAGGGTCACCAGCCCCCGGTCTCCCGTGAGGCCTGTGTAATACACGGGGGCGAAGAAGGCGAGGGAGTTCTCATCAGCCGACCCTGTTGCTGCCGCAGCTGCTGCGGCGGCGGCGTCGGAAGGAAATACAGGCGGCGTGGCAGCAGACATGTGGGCAGGCTTGTGTTGCTGCTGCTGCTGCTGTTGCGCTGCTTCAAGGAGGTAAGGCAGCGAAGTCCCCGCGTAGGCAGCGGTGGCGTACAGCGCAGGCACAGCGGTGGCTTTGCCGCTGTGATGCAGCGTTTGCTGTGGTGTGAGGGGGCTCCTGTAGTGGTCCGCTGCTGTATCAGCAGCAGCAACTGCTGCTGCTTCTGCGCTGCTGCTGTCTGCAAGGGACTGGCCATCCGCCTCTGCGCCTGAGAAGAATTCCCTGCCGAGATCGCTGGTTGTGGGTCCCGGTTCCTGGCTGTCTTGCTGCTGCTGCTGCTGCAGTTTTGCCGCCCTTTGCTGGCGACGCCTGGCCCGTAACCACCAGAGGGCGAGGAGAGCAACAACAAGAACGAAGAGCAGCAGCAGACAGCTGAAGACCAGCAGCGTGTCACTCACCGGCTTGGGAGGCTTCGGAGGGTCCTGCCGCAGCTCTCGCTGGCAGTCCAGAACGGCCCCCAGCAGCAGAGGGGAGGCTTCCGCCAGACTTCTGCGGACGCTCGGCGCTGCTGCTCCTACTACTGTAAATGCTGCTCCTCCCGCTGCTGCCTCCTCCCTTGGGTAGCCGCCGTCGAGGAACATTGGGGGCTCTCCGCCTGCTGCTGCTTCTGCTGCTGAGGGTGGAGGTGGTAGTGCTGCCGCTGCTGCTTGCTGTATGGAGGTGATTGCTTCTGGCGCCGAGTCCAGGCGCAGCTTGAGTTGTTGAACGAGAGCTTTCGCTGCTTCGCCTGTGGCAAAAGCTGCCATAGGCAAGGGCTCTTTGGGGCCCAAGTCGAGCAGCTTCCCGTCTTTGCAGGCAGCATAGATGAATGGCTGCTGCTGCTGTTGCTGCTGCTGTTGCTGCTGCTTTTGCTGCTGCTGCTGCTGCTGTTTTTTCCTTTGGACTGCAGCGGAGATGAAGCCGCGTGCGCAACCGATGCGGAAGAGTTTCAGTGAGACCCCAGCGGGTTGAAAGGTGGCCGCGAGGGCCTCTGCTACTTCTTGGCTAAGCAGCAAATTGTCTGGGGGCCCCCTTGGCTCTGCAGGTTGATGTGTAGTGGGGATGCCGTCCACCTTGAGAGTAGGGGGCAGCAGCGAGAGCGCGCCGTTGCAGGGGCTCGCCTCCAGCATTCCGTTTAAGTCCTTGATGCACTGCAGCTGCCTTCGGCCCCACACTCCGTTGCTGCAGACGATCGTTTCGCTTTTAGGTGCTGCATCACCTGCTGCCACAAAGCCAGAAGCGCAGTACACCGAGCGTTGATCGCCGTGGCCTTCCCCCACCCCGCTAGCGATGAAAGCAGGCCCCAACACTGACGGGTCCGCTGCTTCGTACGGCCCGCAAGGCTTCCTGCACAGCAGCACCTGCAGCCGCTGGGACCCCCCTGCTGTTGCAGAGCCACCTGCTACTGCAGCACCGCCTCCACCCCCTGCAACAGGTGCCAAAGGCGACCAACGCCCTTGCTGACAAATCAGCTCTTGGGGGCTCCACCCCGCCACCGGCGAATACCCGCGCCCGCACTCCACCTGTAACAGAAGCAGCATCAGTAGCAGTAGCAGCGCCTGCAGCAGCCCGTCCCTATCCAGTCACCAGCTTGCAGGAGTTATGGCAAAGCTGTAACAGCAGCAGCCACAGCGGCCGCACCACCACCTCCAGCAACAACAGCAGTAGCAGCAGCAGTAGCAGCCACGCAACTACACTAGCAAGGGCCTCACAGATGCAACAGCAACCACTGCAACAAAATCGCAGAGCTGGCATCTTAGCAGCAGCAACAGCAGCAAGAGCAACGACAGGAGCGACAGCACCATGAGCCGACGGCCTCACTGTAATGACTGAGTTGTGTTCGTTTGTAGCGGATGTGGAATGAAGTCTGTAGGCCTCGAAGACAGAAACATTTTCGGGGGCACTCAGGCCCTCGTTTGTGCTGCAGGAGACATCTCGTGCTGCTATGCGGCCCAAGCCCCACGTGCCCTTCTCAGGCCGCAGCAGTTCCTGCTGTTGCTGCCGCCGACTATTGCTCCTGTTGTTGCCAGGAGAAGCAAAGGCCACGGAGCTTATGGAGACGCTCGATGGAGGAACGAACACAGGAGACGACGAAAAGCACGCTGCAGGCAGAAGCAGCGGAATTGGGTGAAGCAATAGGGGACCTATTGCCTTTTGCTGGTGCTGATACGGCTGATTTGCACGCTCGGCTGCAGCAGCACCGGCCTGCTGACGTTGCAGCTCAGCAGATAGAAGGGCCGCCAGGCCGGAGGCATCGTCCTGCCGGAGTTTTTCCACACCCTGAGGCGCATCAAAACCAGCAGCAGCGGCAGCAGTGGCAGCAGCAGCAGCAGTATGATCAGAGTGATGCTGTTGCTTGGTTTGGGCAAGAGCATGAACAGGAGACGCTTTCTCCTTTCCCTCTTTATCTCCTTTGTTTTGTACTCCTCTTCATCCCCTTTGCCTGCTTCCACCCTATCTCCGTGTTCATATCAGAAGGTTTAGTGTCTAGAGGTTCAACTTTAGGGTTTAGTCCTAAGGCTTTTGGGTTTCAGCTGTAGGATTTAGGGTGTATGTTTTCGAGTCAAGGGCAGAGTTAGGGCTTATGGTTCCGCGTCCTGGATGTCGGGTTTCGGGTACCGGGCTTAGGGTTTAGTGTTTAGGTTTTAGGGCTTATGGTTTGCCTGAAGGAAATGGGGTTTATTGCTGAGGGGTCCGGCATCGACGAGCGCATGCAGATCGCCAGATTTCCAGGCCCTAATAAGCAGTACGTCCCCCACTGGCAGCCCCAACGCAGCAGCAAAGGCATCTCGCAGCACGTGACGCAGCAACTCCTCGCCTTCATCACTCCTACTACTGCTCCTGCTGCTGCTGCTGCTGTCTAGGGCTTCATAGTTGAAGCCCTCTATCCGCGCGTCCACCGCAAAGACGGAACGGTTGAGGCCCCGAGAGCAGGTCCGGTCTAACGGTATCTGCAACCAGACAGAGAACAAACAGGCAGGCTCAAACACAGCGACAAGTGGGCAGGGAGACAGTGATAGAAGCAAAGAGAGACTAGGAGAAAGACCGGCACAGAAAGACAGAGAAAGAGAGACATGGACACGGAAAGAGAGGCACTCAAGTAGGCGGTGCAGCAGCAACTGCCGCAGCAGCAATAGCAGCAGGAATTGAATCTGCAACTGCAGCAACAACCGCAGCACAATAAAAGCAACTGCGGCAGGAACTGCATTGGCAGCTGGATCTTCTGCGTGCGATAGAGACAGCAGCAGCAGCAGCAGCAACAGCAGCAGCAACGGAAGCAGCAGCAGAGCCGAATGACCTTGCAGTCTGCCTCTATGAAGGCGACGGAGCGATATAACTCCAACGGCCCTGAGGTGCCCTCCAATTCCTCCCAAAGCGACTGGACGAGGAGCAGCAGCTGCGGTGTTACGGCTTCCGGCATCTGCTGCTGAAGCAGCGCGAGCTGCTGACGCTGCTGCTGCTGCTGCTGCTGGTCTATGTATAGCAGGTCTCGCAGCAACTCTAGCTGCGGGGCGAGGCAACAGCCGTTCTGCTTCTGCAACTCTGAGCAGCAGCCACAGACCAGCAACAGGAACAGGCGCTGCGAGAAGAAGGACTGGAGATAGAAGGGAGCGGAAAGAAAGGAAGCAAAACAGAACAACGTAAAACAGCAAAAGCACTGCACCACTGCTAGCGAAAAGACTCCCCATACTGGCCACAAAGCAGCAAAAGCACCAGCAGCAAAAACAACAGCAGTAGCAGCATAAGCAGCAGCAGAACCAGCAGTAGCAGCATCAGCAGCAGCAGAACCAGCAGCAGCAGCAGCAGATGCAGCACCAGCAGCACCAGCAGCACCAGCAGCACCAGCAACAGCAATAGCACTTCTAAACAGAGCTGTAAAAGCAGCAGCAGCAGCTGTGCGTGCTGTGCTGACTGTGTATTGCGTCTCTGCATTCGTGCTGTGCGCATTGGAAGTGGAAACTAAAAGGAAAACAGGGGCCGTCCGCAAGCCCTCCCAAGTGCTGCTGCAACAAATCGATGATGGGCTGCAGCAGCGGCAGCCGCTGCGCTAAGCAATCTCCTTTGTCAAAGCCGCACGCAGCGGTGTTGCAACTGTTGTCGCATTCGCCGTCCCCCACGAAGGCCAGCGGACAAGTGCAGCGCGGCAGGTCTGCTGCTGCTGCTGGCTCGTAGACGTGCAAACTGCCTAATGATGTAGTAGCTGCTGCTGCCGCCCCCTGCGGGACCAGCAGCGCCCCACATGTCTTGTCTTCCGCACTTCGCAAACAAAAATTCCTCCCTATGCTCTCCATAGCCGTGCCCAAAGCCCAGTCGTAAGGATGCACCTGCTGCTGTAGCAGCTGCTGTTGCCGCCTCTGCTGCAGCTGCTGCTGCGGCTGCGTCTGGACGTGGGGCTGAGGACGCGGGTGTAGCAGTTCTTTGCCGACAAGTCTGTACACCTCGAGGAGGCAAGGCGCTTCGGGGGCGCTGCTGCAAAATTCTGCTGCTGCTGCATGCGGCGGTAGAGCAGCAAAAGGGTCGGTTGCTGCAACAGCAAAGACCTGTGGGGCGCAGCTTCTCCCATCCGCTTCGCTGCACAGCAGCGACAGCACTGCCGGGAGCCGCCGCAAGTCTGTCAGCAGACCCCTCACCCCCATATATACCGAGCTGTCCTCAAAATCTTTCGCCGTGGATGCTCCTGCTGCTGCTGCTGCTGGGAACGAGGCGGAAGGTTGCTGCTGCGGCTGCGAGCCGGGCAGCGCGATCTCGACGTATTCCTTCAGCTGCAGCAACACCGAAATGTACCGGATATTGCTTCTAAAACAGGCGCTGCCGCTGCTCGCTGGACAGACCTGTTGCTGCAGCTGCTGCTGCAGCTGCAGCTGCGGTGTCTGATGCAACCGCTGCAGCAAAGCAAAGGCGTCCCCGGCTAGGCTGAAGCAGTGTTGCGAGTCCTCGACAGAACAAAGGACCTCCAGAAGCTCTGTGAAGAGCTGGAGCAAATGTTCATCCTGCGCCTCAGCAGCAGCTGCTGCTCCGCTGGGATCGTCCCCCGTCCCCGCAGCAGCAGCAGCAACAGCAGTTTTGCGGCTGCATTCTGCGGCCAGCTGCAGCTCTCTCTTGAAGTTTGTGCTGCAAGTTCCCTTGCAAAAGGAAGCGACTTTAAAGGCGGACCGCCCAAAGGCCAACGCCCCACACTCCCCAACGAGCAGCCGCGACACCCCTCCAACGAGCTCCTGCATGCATGGGCTCAAACGCTGCTGCTGTTGTTGTTGTTGCTGCTGCTGCTGCTGAGCAGCTGTGCCTTCCGGTTGGAAGAGACGCAGCACAGGCGGCCCGAAGCGGAGGAATTCCTCCTCGCGCCACTGCAGCGGCGGATTCCGTCCGTGAGCTGCTCCTGCTGCTGCTCCCGTTAGCAGCAAGGCTGCGTCTTCCAGATGTTCTGCTGTTGCTGTTGTTGCGCTGATGGACCGCGGTGTTGCTGGTGCAACGCTGTTGCTGCTGCTCATGCTCGGTGCCGAAATCGCTGAAGTTGTAAGGTCTGCCTGCATGCAAGCTGCAGCAAACGCGGCAATATGTGCTGCATCTTCTGCTGCAACAGATGGTGCGGCTGCTGCTGCTGCTCCGGTCGTCCATGTTCCGTTGTTGCAAGTAACATTTAAGGATATGGAATGGCTACGTCGGCATGATATCTTTATTTTTGACCCGTGTCGCGTCATCTCCACAGGGAACTCCACCTGCTGCGGCTGCGCATGCAGCTGCTGCTGTTGCTTTAGCGAGGTGGAGTACAGTTTCGGCTGCAGGACGAACTGCTTGAGAGGTACTGGGCTGCAACTGCTGCAGGCTTCACAGAAGGGCCCCCCACAGTCGATGCCGTCTTCGTGCTTTTCCTTCTTGCCGTTGTAGCAGCTGCCGCACTTGCTGCTGCAGGCCTCGCCACACCGCACATTCAACTCTTTCCACTGTGTTTCGGAGAGGCCTCCTGGGCTTCCTGGGCACTGCCGCACGCAGACATCTTCCCTTAGGTGCCCCTCCCACTCCCCGTCTACGCATTCTAGCTGCTGCAGCCGCTGCCGCTGCTGTTGCCGCTGATGCCGCTGCTGCTGCGGTGGCGTTTGTGGCGGGAGCGGGGGCAGCTTTGGCTGGAAAGGAGGGGAGCATCCAATTGTCAGCTTCTCGTTCTCCTTCCATATGGCCCCGAAGAAATGTTTTAGCCTTCGCGTCTTTTTAGGGGAGATAATCAAGAAGTGTGAAGGCAGAGGTGGCACTCTGCAAGAGGCGCTGCAGCGCAGCAGCACTCCGTTGCTGCTGCCGGCCACAGTGGCTGCTGCTGCTGTCCCCTCAGTTTCAATTTGGTACTGCTGATGGCTGTGCTCATGCGGCCTAGATTCCCACCGCCCATCGACGCAGGTGATGATGTGCGGTTGTCTCGCCGCTGCTGCTGCTATGGCTGCTGCTGGACTGTGATGCTGCAGCTCGTCGCTGCACGCGATTTCCGCGGTGTCCCCGTGTTCGAACAGTTGCTGCTTCTGCTGCGTCTGATGCACGAGAGCGTAGTGCCTGCCGAGTTCTTCAATGGGATTGCGGCAGCCCGCAGCACAGGCAATGGACCGCAGCCCCCAAAGGCCCCCTTGACACCGTAGAATTTCTTCTGGCGGTCCCCCCAGGCGGACGCTGTTCGGCGCACACGTGACTTTGACTGCTGCTGCTGCTGCACTTGCTGATCCTGCTAGCTCTTCTTCGTCTCCTTCTGCTACGTCTGTGGGGGCTGCTGCAATGGATTTTACTGTGTACGCGCTAGGGTTTAGCAGCAACGGAGGACACAGAGGACTGCAGACAAACGCTGCTGCTGCCCCTACAGGCTTCTCTCGAACCCACTTGCCGTCTTCACACTTAAACGACACAGAAAACATGCCATTAGGGCTCCCGTAGCCTGCAGCGGTTAGGGCACAGTAGCAGCAGCAGCGCAGGTAACCGCAGCGCCACCAGCCAGGGTACCAGCAGCAGGCACGCAAGCAAAAGCAACCTCAGCAGCTGGCGCAGCAACTGACGCAACACCCCACAGAATCACAAGCAGCAGAGACAACGCCGCTCGGGACAGCAGAAACAATTGTATTGGCAGCAAATACAACAGTAGCAACAGCAGCATGAAAACTGGCAGCGCCAGCACAGCAACTCCAGCAGCAAAACCAGTAGCGCCACTAATAGCAGCACTAGCAGCGTCAAAAACAGCAGCACCAGTGTTATAATGGAAAACATCGGTAGGACAGGTAGATTCCCCAGGCGGCATCATCTGCAGCAGCAGCAGCAGTAGCAGCAGCAGCAGCAGCAGTAGCAGCAGCAGTAGCAGCAGCAGCAGCAGCATTCAACAACAGCAGCATCCCTGGCGGACCCTGTTTGCATTCTGCTGTCCATACACTGCCGTGTTGTAGCCCCTGTCCTTTGAGCTCAGCCCCCTCAGGAGTTAATGGCGGCTGCCGGCAGCTGCGCTTGCACTTGAGGGTCACAGGGGGTTCCCAACCATCTTCAGTGCAGCGCAGCAGCTGCTGCAGCACTTGCGGCTGCTGTTGGTTGGGGGAATATGGCTGTGGCTCGACGCATTCGATGAGGCGCTCCTCTCCCTCTGCTGCTGCTGCGTCTGCAGCTGGTTCTTGTTCGTCTTCCTCATCATCAGCCTCCTCTTGAGAGCCGAGCGGCAGGCGTACTAAATAGCTGGGGCCCAAGGATGGCCCTAGAGGGGGACAGAGCGCCGCACATTGGAGTGTTAAGGGCTCCCAGCGGCCGCTTAGACACCTGAGCGTTTGCTGTTGCTGCCCCTCCTCCGGTGCTGCGGTGGCTGTTGTTGCAGCTGTTGCTGCTGCTGCAACTGAGTCAGCACAGCGAACAACGACTGCAGATCCTGAAATGCCTTCCGCTGCTTCTTGCGTCTCCTCCACATCGTAGGCATCAGCAAGGCGGGGGTACGGGCTGCATCGCGGGATGCAGGGTGAGAGCGTGCCGCGCCACTTGCCCTTGTAGCAGTGCAGCTCCCCAGCGTTGGTGCTGCTTCCTGTCTCAATCATAATGTCGAGAGGGAGAGAAAGGCCTGCGCTGCAGTGAACAGCAGCGCGGCTGCCCTCGGGCACGTGATGGCTGTTTTCACTGCCGGAGTCCGCACTGCTTCCTAGGAGTTGCAGCTCGTAAGAAGATTCGCTGGCCGCGGCTGCTTGCGCTTCGGGTCCATCTGGCTCCGCTGCCACTGCTGCAGCGGCTGTTGCTTCTGCACTGATTTTCAGCAAGCAGTGGGTGGCAGCCGCCTCAAAAAAGACCGTGTGGGAACCCAGGGGCCCCCAGGGGTTGTAGGAGAGATCTGTAAAGGCCCCCAGGTCTGCTGTGAGTTCATACACTTGGCCCGGCTCCAAAGGGACGTCCACATGGAGTTCTGCCACCCCCAATTCGCCTTGGGTGGGCTCTGCGGCGCTTGGGATGCCTGTGCTGCTGTTGCTGGAGGAAGAAGAGAAGCTCCTGGGGCCCGCCAACGATCCTGGGCTTTGGGGCTGCATTCGGCGCACCCTGATGGATGCGCCCCTCATGCCTGCCTCTTGATCCGCAGGCCACTCGGCAACAGGGACCTTCTGCCCCCGTGGCGTGAGGCGTAGGGAGGCCCAGTGTCCGTAGGTGATGGGTTTGTTGAAAATGAGGACGAGGGGTTCGGCGGGCACCCCGGATGCGCTGTCGAGCTGTAAGAGGTGGGGGCCCTGAGCAGCTCTGTAGGAATTGTCTTCTACAGCTGTAGGAGTTTCCGGATGCGGCGGTCCGACAGCTACGAGGGTGGGAGGGAGATGGTCAGGGTTTTGGCGGCAGACGAAGGCAGCAAACGGCTGCTCTTCCCGCTTCTTTCCAGTCCACTTGTGCCACAGGCCTGATGGGGGCAGCTGGGGGCCCCCCTTGGGGCCTCGAGGGGCCCCCTGCAGCAGCGCGATATCTGCAAAGCCCAAGAAGGCGCTCTCGTCGAGGTCAGTGTCTACTACCCAGTTTCCCGGCTCCTCGGCTGTCTCCTGGCGGTAATAAATAAAGAAAAGATTGCCTTCGCCACCGCGCCAGGCTGCGTGGCCGTTGATGGGGTCGATCGGGGTGTACAGACCGTTGCAGTTGCCGTTCTCGGTGCCGAATCCCGTGACATACAGCAGCGGGCAGCCCCCATCTTTGGCTATTCGAAAGGATATCGGCCCCACAGCCTCGCACGGGTTCCCTGTAAGGTCTATGACAAAGCCGAACTCCAGGCTGACGGTGTAATTCCCCTGCGGGAGAGATGTGAGTTCTTCGTCAGGCGTCACCACCAGCAGCTGGCCTTGTCTCTCGAGAAGCCATTTGCTCGTCCCGGTGCTCTCCTCCTGCCTCTCCGCTGCCCCTGCGGCCGCTGCTGCTGCGGTTGCTGCTGCTGCTGGACCTGCTAGGTGCAGCTGCTGCGGCGGGCGCCTGTGGGCCCTAGGGAAGAGCGGGGGGCTGTAGCGAAGGACGCTGAGGTCCTGCGCGCCTTCAGGGAGAGTAATGACCCACTTGATGCTGGGGTCGATACACTGAACGACGATGGAGGCGCCGGGTCTGCCGAAGAGAATGTCTTCGTTGAACTGCAGCCGCAGCTGCTTCACAGGCGGGATAGAGGTGGAACTGGGGGCAGGATCGGCTGCCAGGAGCGAGGGCGGCAGCTCATCCGTCACACATTCTCCTTTGGCGCAGAGTGCGTGAATAGGGCAGTCGCTGTGCACGACGCACTCCACCGAATTCAGCAAACCCAACTCAACTCCAAAGTCCTCGGGCGCGTCGCAGTTGCCCCCGCTGCAGCCGCACAGACGGTGCGTCCTGCAGAAGCCAATAAAATACAGCACAACGAGCGCATTTCACCTGTCAATACGCCCGATACATTCTATTTAGATGTGCAGCGTCCCTACCTACGCTCACCACCGCCAACAACACCAAAGCAAGCAGCGGCAGACTGACGCAGCAGCAGCAGCAGATGGAAACCGCAGGAGCAGCAGCGACAGCAGAGAGCCTCAGCAGCAGCATATGTATGGGCTTTAAAGAACGGGTATGTTTGGTAAGAGGGGGCGCGTTTGTGTGTGTGTGTGTGTGTGTGTGTGTGTGTGTGTGTGTGTGTGTGTGTGTGTGTGTGTGT